CGCAGACTCGGGGCGGCACGTGCCGAACACGGGGACCCCCACGGCCTCTGCATCTCCACTCTGCCGGCAGCGTGCCCGCCGGCCTCACCCCGCCTCCACGCCCACGGCCGCGGGGACACCTCCTGGGGGCGCAAGGAGGCAACGCTGCTGTGTTCAGATTCAGGAGCCAGGAGTGTTCCCTGGTCTCAGTCCTCCTGTCCCTGGAGCACAGGAAACGGGGTTCCCCAGTGATCCCGCACCTAGACCAGGCGCATGCCCGAGACCTGGCCAGTGGGCTGGGCACAGAGGGGGCCTCGGACCCGCCTGGACGCCTTCCAGATGCGACTCCTGCCCCCAGGCCGAGCTGCATGAGCCTCCTGGGGGGTTGGGGGGCTCCGGGGAAGAGGCATAGAGTGGGGGCCATGCCCAGCAGCGCGAGGGCCATGCCCAGCAGTGCCGCGGCGTCTCATGCAGCCAGCGTTTGGCTGGACCGGGCAGTGTGAGAGGAAGAAGAAGTGAGGAAGGAGCAGCTGGAGGTGCAGCCGCCACGGTGGGGCTGGAGCCAGCGAGAGGCAGCTCACGGGGCTCTGTGTGCACAGGCTCGCTCGGGATGCACGTCCGCCACACGGGGGAGGTTGAGAGGGGCGCTGGTGTGTAGAGCTGGGGTGCCGGCCCATGCCCAGGCCCGGTGTCCAGGTTCAGTGTCCAGGCCCAGTGTCCAGGTCAAGTGCCCAGGCCCGGTGTCCAGGTTCGCGGCTCCCCAGAGGCCATGGGGGTCTTTATTCTACCTGGGCCTCCCCAGCCCTCCCTTGTGTCACGACCCCCACCCTTGGGCCTCTGTGCAAAGACCGTGAGAAAACCGCACGCTTGGCCTCGGCGCTCAGACAGCGGGCGGCCAGGGAGGGGGCCCCCCGGGGAGGGCACTCCTCCGCCAGAGGAGAGGCGGCGGCGCGGACCGCTGAGTGAAGGGGCCTGGGGACCATGTGCAGTGGACGTTCGCGCAGTGGGCAATTCAACGGGACAAGACCGACGCAAACGAGGGGACCCTGATAACATAGTGAGTCCACTGAAGTTGGGGGGTGGGCGGGCCGCGAGGAACGGAGCAGCGAGGCAGGTCCTGAGCCCCCAGAACCCCGGGGCATGGGCACCCAGATGGAGCTGCTGGCTTCCGTCCAGGGCCCAAGAACGAAAGGAAGACGCATCCCCGGACAGAAGCCGCGGGCAGCGTAACACGCACGCGGGCCCACCCCGGCGGTGGGCGGCGGCCCCGGCGGATGCCCCGGCTCTGGCCGTGACTGACGGCTTCTTTATTTAGTCACGGAAACATCATGGGCAGAAAAGATGAACCAAAAAGATCGCCCCAAGCTGGGGCCTTGCCCCGAGCGGGCCGGCGGGGAGGAGAGGCCGGGGCAGCGCTTGCGTCTGGCCACAGCGAGGTGCCAACGGCGGGCCCTGGGTGGCCTCGGGTGGAAACGCGGCCTAGAAAGGCGCCGCTGCCTTTTCCCAGTGAAGCTGCTCCCGCCCGGCCACCAGGAGGGAGGAACTCCCCCTGCAGCTCACAGCCACGGAGGCTGGTCAGTCCGGGAGGGGGTGGTGGGGAGAGCTCAGGCGCCATCCCCGCTGGGCTAACTCGGGCCCGGGGCTGGCGATCGAGGCTTTAGATCTCCGCGCAGCCTCGAGCGCAGTCGGCGTCCAGTGTCTGCCGCGGCCCGCGGAGAGCGGCCCTCGAGGTCAGACTGCGCGGCGAGGGTCAGCGCGGCCTGGCCAGGAGACTCCCCTGGCTGAGCTCACCGAGCACGGACACCCTTTAAATGCCGCGCACGCTGCCTGCACATCACCCGCCCCCAGGCCCTCGCGCTGAGGCCAGGGCTGGCCGGGACACGGGGACGCGGCCACGGCCCTTCCCCCCCGGCGCCTGATGTGGGGCGCTCCTCTGGGCACTCTCCTCCGGCTGCCGTCTCAGTAACTAGGCCCTGGACGCCAGGCGCAGCCGCCAGCCGGGGCCCGCGCAGCACAGCGCTTCAGCAGAACGTGGCTGCGGCTTTCGGGGGGATGTCAAGACTGGCTGTGAGGAGCTCGCGCTGCTGAGATACCCAGAACGAAAAGTCCCCTCACTTCACGCCGGCCCCGGCTCGTCCAGAGACAACACTCGAGCTCCGTGTCGGTGTCGGCACCCGCCGGGGACCGAGAAGCCGTCGCTGAGGGGAAGGCAGGTTGGCGGGTCGGCGCGCCCATTGGTCCTGCTCCACTTGCTTCCCTGTGTTTCGGGCGTCACTTTAACCTACAAAAACTAATCGTGTTCACTTCGGGAGGCTTGAGAGCCACGGGGGAACCAAGCGTCACCCGTGAAGTCCTTCCAGGGACATGCCGTGTGTGGGGACCCTTGCAGGGCCCCCCACCCCAGAGGCACGAGCCCCCGGGCCCCCCACGGCGCCGGCGTCTCCGCCCAGGGCCTGGCGCTCCAGATGCTGCTTGTGAAGGCGGACCCGGCGGTTTGCCGTCCCTGAGCCCCTCGCTCCCCAGGGCGCCCTCCGGCCAAGCGCCCGGGTGAAGTCACGTGACCTCGCGGGGCACAGGCGAGCCTGACGCGGCGCACACCTGGGCGGCGGGCGCTGCCCTCGAAGTCGGGGCCCGTTTCTCGGTCACTCCCGCCCGGGGAGCCCGTAAAGCCCCGGCTCACGGCCCTCCTGGCGCGGCTCCGGCTGACGCGCGGGTCAGCGCGTCCGGGTTGCTGGGCCGCGAGCTCCCGCGCCGCTGGCCGTTCACCGCTCCGGTTTGGGGACGCACTTGGCATCATTTTTGTTCACTGTCACAGAAGAAAATCGTTTTAAATGAAGCGAGTGCGGATGGGCGCGGCTTTCTGGGCACAGAGCGAGCCCCAGGAAGTCCCCCCTCCCCCCGAAAGCTGCAGCGGCACAGAATTGCGTGATTCTTTTGGAAAGACCTTTCTCTCCACCCGGGTTTTTAAGGACTATTTATGAGTCTGGAAGAAGGAACAGATGGTAAAACAATCCCTTTAAAATAGATGGTGGCCACAGATAAAAGTGAAGCCATTCCATTTAACTGACAACCGGGCTTTTAAAATTTTTATTAATTTTTCCCAGAAATTCCCTTCAAGTCGGTCGAGACTCTCCGGAGGCGACCTGGAGCTGGTGGGCTGCTGGGCTGCTGGGCTGCTGGGCTGCTGGGCTGCCGGGCGCATTTGAAACCTGCTGGGGCTTCAAGTCCTGCCTGACTCGACCTCACCTCCTGGAACGGGGGCTCTGCTCCCACTGAACCATCCGTCGTGGGGGGTGGCGCCCGGGCTGGGTGAGCCCGGGAGAGGGCGTGACCGGTCACATGGCCCCTGGGCCCCGCGCCACGGCGGCACCCGGCTCCCCGGAACCGCACACACCTGTGGAACAGGTGGGCCCGGGGCCGCCCGGGGAATATCAAATCCCTGTGCCGCCCACGGGGAGCGCCCCCTTCCTGCAGACGCGGCTCTCTCCAAAGCCAACCCCCGAGAGCCCGGCCTGCAGAGGCGCCTCTCCCAGTCGGCTCAGGGGGCCCGAGGTGCCCGCGGACAGTCCCCGGAACATGCGGCCCCAGGGCATCTCACGGGGAAGCTGGACCACAGGCCGGCTTGTGCCTCAGAGGCGGTTTCTGGAAGCAGGCGCTAGGCAGCCTCGGAGGCCTCGCTTTTACTGCAGACTCTTCCCTGCGAGTCAGACTCCGACCCCGGGAAAGGCTTCACCTCCCGAGTTGCCGGACCCCGGGCCAGGAAGCTCTCCGCACCCCCGGGATGTCCAGCCCCCCTTTGCAGTCAACACGCTTGATCTGATTGTTCCCTAACATGAAGGGCCTCTCAGGCGGTTCCGACGTCCCACGTCCCCTCGGCTCTGAGGCGCTACCTTAGAAGCGGGGTTCGGGCACTGAGGGACACCTCTGTCGGCCGAGAACTGGCCCGTGGACGTGGGCGGGGGGCAGCGGCCTTCAGACCGGTGCTGAGTGAAATGCCGAGGCCTGCACGAGCTGCGGAATCTCAGTGGTGGAGGTTGGGACCCTGCGGGGAGCCCCCACCAGGCAGCCCCCCTCGTTTTGGGTGATGTGACACCGGGCTTGCTGGTGGCACTAGTTCTGGCACCTGAGCCCTCGGGCGGCCTAAGTAACAACGGACGAGTCTCCTGTTATGTTACGGAGGTGACTTCTGAACCCCACTGGGGGGGGCTGGCACCCACGACGCCAGCTTGGGGTGGGCCCTCCAGTCCCACCTCCCCAGCCTGACCTGAGGGAGGGGAGGGGGGCAGGGTCAACCACCCACCATCCCCTTCAGGAATGACTGTCCTGAAGCCCCATAAAATCCCCAAGGGTGGGATCTGTTGGGAGAGGCAGGTTGGTTTTGGGGAACAGGGTGTCTGGGGGGCATAGACACTCCCACGCCCCCCCCACACTGCACCTCTGCCACCAGGCTATTCCTGAGTGACCCCCTTTATACTAGACCATCAGAGCGTGAGTCAGATGCCACAGCTCTGGGGGGGGGCAGAGGGGTGCAATTCCCCTCCATCAGGGAGAGGCTGAAGAGCCGGCGGCCTGGGAGAGGGCAGTAGTGCCAGCAAGTGCCCACAAGAGGCCGAGGTAAAGGGCACGTGGCCTGCAAAGCACAGGAGGGCAGTGAGGCTGCCCCCGACTCCAGGAGCCTCCAGCCCTGCTTCCCCGGCCCGAGCCTGGGAAGGGACCGGCCCCCCGCTGGAGAAGGCGCCTGGGGCCAGGCTGCCCGTCCCTGCACCCGGGTCAGCACGCCTCAGCCGCCGCTGCCCGCGCACCGGCAACTGAACGCCACCCGGAAGCTCGAGCGCCGTGGACCGCGCGAGGCCACCTGGCACTGTCACGGGAAGGCCGTGGGGTCCAGCCTTTGACTCAAGGGGGCCCGTGCACCCCGGTTAATTAGGTGCCCTGGTGTCAGCACTCACTTCTAAACCCGGGGGTGGGGGGGGCTCTTCCTGCAGGACAGGACCAGGCAAGGAGCGGAGACGCTTCTGCACCACGCGGGCAGGGCCGCTTTATTCCCTGGAAACGCGTCCCTCCCCGGAGGGCCCGGGGAAGGTGGCACTGAGCAGCAGCCGGCAGGTGGCCCAGCCTGCGTGGGCCCCCAGGACTGTGCGGTTGGCACTGCAGGGTCACCGGTGACCCGGAGCTGACCCTGGGCACCCCAAGGCTGGGCGCGGGGGTGGCGCGGGGCCACAGGGCTCCCTAGTCCTGGGCGCCGTGCTCCAGAGTCCTGACGAGGTGCTGGTAGGTGTCTCGCTCCGCCCGCCAGGAGTGGCGCGCCCTCACGTACTCCCTCCCGCGGGCCACCATCTCCTTCCCCAGGGTGGGGTCGCTCACCAGCTGCTTCGCCAGGTGGACAAACTCCTGCAGCGCAGGGGAGAGACAGAGAGAGGCGGGTGAGCGGTCAGGCGGCCCCGCCCCAGCTCCGGGGTCCTCCGCCCGCCCACAGGCAGAAAACGACCCCCAGGAGAAGGGGGTTCACGGGTGCCCGGGTTGAGCGAGACTCACACACGTGTGCACCGCGGCCCCTGAAGGTGCTGGCCAGGGCGCCAGCCCCGCGCAGCCACGAGCCCAAGCAGCTGTCTGCTGCCAACAAGGGGGCAGAGGGAAGGGGAGCTTGTGGGAAAACCAGGGGCAGAAAGACGCGCCAGGCTGTGTGGACACTGTTTACCAGACAATCCGTGTCTAAGTGGCCTGACACACATGCACACGCACGTGCACGCCCACGCACGCACACCCGCGCATGAGGATGAGCCCCTGGGGAAACCCTGCGGGCCGTGCTGCGTGGCCTTCTTCCCGAGACAGCCGGAGCCTCGTCCGCTGCTTTACGGCGCCCTCTGACCCACCCCTTGGCCTCACCCCTATCGGAGGGCGCCCTGCACGGCCTGCGCCTAGGTGCCCCCTCACTCCACGGGGTGCGATCATGTCAGGGCACGGGCGCAACCAAGGCTGGAGGCAGCTCTGGGCCCCGAGCCCTCGGCAGACGGGCCTGAGCTGTGTGGGCAGCACCGACCCTGAGCCTCACTCCCCTCCCCTCTGGGGTGGGCCCCTGGTGCCAAGCCCAGCCGGGCCAGGCTCCAGGGGGCGAGGGACTAGGTGGGTCTTGCTCCTCGCCGGAGCCTCTGCTTTAGCTTGCTCTGCGCATGCTTGTGACTCAGTGCCCGCACAGGCACGGCGCGAGGCCGGCGCCCAGGGCCAGCGCCCTCGTGGCTGCAGAGATCTAGCAGGGCTGCGCGCTGAGGGGCATCCAGAGCAGGCGGTGCAGCGCCCCGCTCACCAGTGCGGCAGGGGCAGGGCCCTGGAGCCGGGGCCTGGGTTCAAATTCCTGCCTAGCCCTCCAGGTGACAGGCCCCGACCCCTTCTCCGTGCCCCCACCCCACAGAGTCCTCCTCTTTAATTAGGGAGCTAACTCCCTGCTGGGTACGGCAAGGGTTAAATGAGTTAATGCAAAGAGCTCGGGGAGCAGAGACTCAGGGAGCCTTGTCATTCTGACCCCCAAAGCCAGGTCAGCTCCTCCGGGTGAGGAAGCCTGCGGTTATCAGGCAGGGCCCGGCTGCAGAAGACCGGCCACATATTCTCAAAATTATTGTTAATTAAACACTGAATGCCTTTTATGGCTAGCAATATGCACAGCAGTATTTATGAGAGTGGAGTTACTTTTTTTATGTATTATGTATACACTTTGTAGTAAATTGGTGTTCTTTTTATAATAAAAATATGACATATTTATTCCCATCTCCTAGCAGAACAACATTTCTATTAAAATTATTCAACGGGCTTGTAGCTCTGGTGTATTATTTCACGACACTGGTCATATCTGTGATTTATCTGATGGAGAAATTTTGGTGGAAACCCAACCCTGTTTGTTATTTCTACAGACTGTTTGACCATTTTACAACAAAATCCTGAATGATAGAGTTCCTAGGAATAAGCTGTGATAAAATACACTTTTCACCTCTCTGCATGGAAGATTGATCAAGAAAATACAGACTTAAATCAGCAAGAGCGACCTGGTGAGGAGCTGGCCGCCCGCTGGCCGCTGGGAGAGTGACCCCACAGGAGTGTCGGGGACAGGGGCGGGAGGACAGGGCATCCGGGGGAGGAGGGAGATGGTCGTGTGATGAGTAAGTGTCCTCGAGCCTCTGGGATTCGTGCCTTTGGGGTCACAGCAGCTCCTGCTGACCACCGAGGCATACCATGGGCACTGCCCTTGGACGAGAGGCAGAGCTGGCGTGGGCGCCGTCAGGCTTGCAGGGGACGCTGCATGCAGAGGGGGCAGCGACTCCCCATCCCTGCACCGTGTCTGCAGGATGGCTCTGTGGCTCCCACCATGAGGCGGGGTGTGTGTGCATGTGTGTGTGCGTGCATGCGTGTGTGTGTGTGTGTGTAACACATGTCTACATAGGTGTCTGTAAATACACACACATCCATAGCGCGGCATGGATGGAAGTATATATAGATGCCACTCCTGAACCCCAGTTTCTAAGATTCTGACTGGCTGGGTGTCAGGTAAGTGAAAAAGTATCAGGCTTTCCTGCCCTCCCGCCATTAGGACGGATGACGGATCCCTGCGGTCCTGAAGGCAGGCCTGATGGCGGCACCTGGAGTGGGGTGTGCACATGCGTAGGTGGGTACACCTGGGCTGAGAGACGGGGCTTATAAGGGCGGCGTCCCGGGGACGCCCGCAGAACCACGAGAGCAGCAGAGACCACGGCCGCCAGAGAACGCTGGAAAGCCCAGGTAGAGTGAAGACCTGCCTCCCGGCCCCCAGCACCCCTGCCTGCCGTGTAGCTGGTAAATCCCAATAAAAGCCTGAAAGCCACCGAGGGCTCCAGGCCTCTCTCCTCCTTACCCCGTCTGCTCGGATCATAGAAAACCTGCTCTGGCCCTTCCTGCCCCTACCCTGGGTTGGGGAGGAGTCTGGGGTGCTGTCTTCGTGCCAGGATGCTAGAGCCAAGCTCGGAAGACCAGGCCTCATCACCACCAGAGACCCTGGCCTGGGGGCTGAAGCGGGAGCCAGGCAGATGCGCTGCCTCCTGGCTCAGACATGGCCGACTTCTCACTACCATCTCGCGAGACGGGGAGGCGCCACCTCCGGGCACTAATCCCACCATGGGGGCTCCAGCCTCGGGCCTCGCCACCCCCGGCGTCCCCCTCAAGTGCCATCACGCTGGACACCAGGTCTTAACACCTCTGGGAGATGCAACACTCAGGCCCGGCAGTGTCCTCTCAAAAGGCCGCTCTTGGAAATCCATGTCTTCGTGGACGGCTGGGCCTCCTCCTGAACAGTGAGGCCTGGCCGTGGAGCAGACGCTGCTCAGTGGAACCTGCAGGCCGTGCGACTCAGCGCAGACGGCCCTGACCTGCCTTCCCTGCATGCTCGATGCATATCCGAGGCCCCTCCCAGCGGCGGGTGCACCTGGCCACACCCCACAGCTGACACTGCCCCCGCCTGAGCCCCGAGCCAGGGGCCCCTCTGCGTCCCTCCCGGCCCCCGCGGTCTGCGCAGCGCCCACCAGCAGCACATCTGAGGTTCAGGACCGAGACGCAGGACCGGCGCACGGAGCAGGATAAACAGAGCCGCAAATAACTTCCCGGCAGCTCCCAGACACCGAGTCCCTGCCAAGTGCATTTGGAGCCAAGTCACTAAAAATACACGGTTTTCCGAGCACTTTCGGGATTTTGGCATCGCAGGAGGGGGCTGGCGCGGGGTGGTGACCGCCACTCCTCCGCAGCGGTCACCGGCCATGCCTCACGGGGGCGTGAAACCACGGAGTGACCACCCCAAGCAGCGAGGTCTGGGGGCCACCGGCGGGGCTCTGAGCACCTCCCCACCCGCTCCCGATAGCTGCCAGGCGAGTGCCCAGCTGCGGGGGGCACGTGTGCTGTGGGCAGGGCGAGGAGCAAGGTCAGGCGAGGGGCCATGTCCACGGTGAGGGCAAAGTCGACATGGGACCCAGGCGTCCGCTCACGCTCCCGGAGTCGACGGGCGCAGCTGGGCAGTCGCCCGAGGGACACCGACAGCAGCGGGCCAGACGGGCGGCCTCGGCTAGAGCAGAGCGGCCGCAGCCCCGTGAAGGCTCCTGGGGGCATCCAGAGCCACAAGCCCCCAGCCAGCCCACCCCCACGGTCCTCCACGCCGGCCCCGCCTGGCAGCCACTGTCTGGGTCACACCAGTGTTTGTGGGGACAGAGCTCTCCCTCCACCCAGACCCCAGCTGAGCCCCCCAGCGGCTCAATAGCGTGCACCGCGCAGGCCAGAGCGTTGCAGACAATGTGGGGAGAACAGGGGTCCCTCACAGCGGCTCACCCCAGCAGGCCACGTCAGGGGCTGCTCCCCTGGACCCAGGGCCGCCCCCAACCATGGCTGCTCCCAGGGCCTGGTGCTGAACCCAGCCAGCCAGACCATGGGCTGTGTCCCCTGGACACAGTGCTGCCCCCAGCCCAGCGCTGCCCGTGAAGCCCACGACACCCACCCACATGTGGCTTCAGTGCTTTGCTGTAAACAGCTCATTAACGCCTGTTTGTGGGGCCACGTGTGGAGATGGTGCAGGTCTGAACAGCCAAGTTAAATGAAACATTTAACACGGTTGGGTTGTCAGGACACTGTGGCCCTCTGTGGTGGACGCTCCTAGGCTCGCCACAGCCCCCGCCAGGCCTCAGGGCCTCGGCCGCCTGCTGCCGCCTGGACAGGCTCAGGCCTGAGGCCCAGCAGGGCGCCCCCCGCCCCTGGAAGGCCCCCAGTCCCCCACAGCTGGCTGCCCAGCCCCCTCCCTGGGCCTATGCTGGGGCTGACACCCAGCGCCATCCTCACACATCTGCCCAGGGCCCCTGAAGACGCAGGTGGGGGCCCAACACGGAGGCGTCTCCCGTCGGAGCTGACCAGGCAGTTGGCAGGACCCGGCTCAGGCCACAAGGCACCGTCCCAGCCCACAGGCCTCACTCCCCGCCAGGGCAGTGCCCTTGTCTCCAGCTCCGCGGGGGGAGGCCGGGGCCGCCTGGACAGCCCAGGACCTAAGCCGGCCCAGCTGGCCAGAGGCCCAGAGCCGGTGTCCCCAAGCTGTGGTCTGACTCCCCTCGCCCCGTTTCGAGAGAAGAGGGCGTCTGCAAGGACAGAGACGCACGCGGTGCAGGCGGGGGTGGGGGGCGCCTCCGGGCAGCCGCAGCCCACGTCCCCCTCCCGGGACGTAGCTTCCACCGTCATCCACAAGACTCAGACCCTCGCGGCAAAATTAGCCTGGGCTACACTTGCAGCGTCTGACCCTGAGGGGGAGTGTGGATCCTGTTCCTGCTAAATGTCAAATGGATTTTAATTTCGAAGCTATAAAATGCAGCCATAAAACAGCTCAGCTCTTTTCGGAGAGCAGGACTTGGCGGGAAGGACAAAATCGATGTTCCGCGGTTGGGGAGTTGGCTGCGCGCACGTCCTCGGGCGGAGGCGCCGGGAGACTGCTGGGGCCCCCAGGGCTGAGCGTCGGTCATCATTGCTTTCTTGGACACGTGAGCGCTGCCTCCTGCCGCGCCCCCGGGTGCCGCGGGGTGGGTGCTGCTCGGCACCCGTCACTGCCGCGCCCTTGGAGCAGGCCCGGGGCTGGGCCCCGGACACAGGACACACTCCCCAGGGCGAGGAGGAGACCGCCCGGCCCTGACTTCAGGGGTGGGATGGGCTGGGGAAGAGAGGCGGGCGGGAGGCCGGCCGGAGGCCAGGCGAGGGAGCTGAGAGGAAAGCCCAAGGGCGAGGGGCGGGGGTGACAGGGATGAGGAGGAGCAGGGAGAGGGGGGAGCGAGGGGAAGGAGTCAGGCGTCCATCCAAACCCGGGCTCCTCTCCAAGGCCCTTCTCACTAAAGTCGCCAACCCGCTTCCTTGCGTGGAAACCCCGGGCAGCCCCGCCCCGCCCGCTGCACCCGCGCCCGGAGGCGCAGACCCGAACAAGGCGCGGCACAGGCCGTGGAGGCAGCGTCCCCTCCTGCTCTTGCCTGGACCCCTCCGCGGCCCAACACCTCAGGCGGGAAGCGCGAGGGCCTGGGGGGCGGTGCGGAGGGGCGGGCGCTCGGGCCAGGCCTGCTCTGCTCCTCCAGGGCCCCAGGCGTCCAGGCGTCCCCCAGCCCCCCCCCATGTCTCTCTGACCTGCGGTCCAGGCCGGAGGGCTCGCGAGACCAGGCTGGGCCAGGCAGCATCCCCCCCACGAGCCCCGCGCCTCGATCCTCTCCGCCAAGTCCCTCCTACCAGGCCACACGGTGAACCGCAGCCGCGCGCAGGAGACAGCCCAACCGCCCGCCCAGCCGCCCAGCGCTCCCCAGGCAGGGCCACGCGGGTCACCCGAGCCTCGAGCGCCGGTGTCATGCAGGAGCCAGCCTGACAGAGCTGGTCCTCGAGCTTCCTGCCTCAGTTTCCCCATCTGTCACATGGCGGTGAGCGGCGCGGGGCTCCGCTAGGCAGCAGAGAAACGAGCCGCAGTTCTACGGCGGGCGGGAGGACGGGAGGGCGGGCGGCGGCGAGGGGTCTGCAGCGGGAAGTCACAAAGCCGAGTCTCCAAGTGTTGCACTGACTACGCTTTTCAAGGAGAAACGCCCGTGTCACCGGCACAATGCGCTTTAGTAAGACAACGACGCAGAACCTGACGTTTAAATCTACAACTCGGGGGGCAAGGGTGGGCCCCAGGCTTTCACCTGCTAACACCCGACACCTGCTGGAAGAAGTGGCCCCGAGTCCTGGCTCTGGGCCTGCCGGGGCTCGGTCTGAGCACCAACCCCCCACCCCGCCGGCTCCCCGAGGGGGCAGAAGCCTGACCCCCAGGTCCCGGGGGCCGTCAGAGCTCGGAGACCCAGGCACAACCCCACACCAGCTGTTCTCGAGGGACTTGCACGCAGGCGGGCACGCGCGGGCATCCTCAGGCCCCGGCCCCTTCCTGCCCACAGCTGCGCCCCAGACACCCACGTGCACCTGGCGCCCACCAGCTATGCTGCTTTATTTCAGGGGTGTGTGGGGTGTGTGGACACGAGCACAGCCTGCTCCGCCCTCACTTGTGGACTGGGGGCGTGTTCTGGAAAGCGTACTCGTGCGAGGTCACTGTCGTGGAGGCCCCAGAGTGTGTCCCCCAAGCCCAGCCGCACGGCCCCTGCACCCCCAGCCTTAGGCACAGCCTCTGGGGTGCATGTCCTGGGCCCCAGGCTCTTATGCGAGAACGCGTGTGCCTGTGTGCCACTGGGGATGGCCAGGGTCTGGGGACAGGCAGCCTTGAGCAGCAGCAGGACGCGGCCCCCCTCTGGCCCCCACCCACCTCCCCTGACCGGCCCGCAGCAGCGGAGCAGCCCCTTTACCTGCGGGTCTGAGAACAGCAGTCCTGTGACTCCGTGCTGCACCACGGCCGTGTTGCCCGGGATGCGCCTCGCCAGCACCGGGACCTCCAGGGCCATCGCCTGCGGGGAGAGGGGACCAGGTGGGCATGTCCGGAGAGCCAGCCGGTGAGCAGGACGCCGCCCCCCCCCCACCCCGGCAGCCCAGGTGTGGGCTCCCCAAGACACAGGGAGGGGCCTGCTGTGCAGCTCTGGGGAGGGCTGTCCCGTGAGCCTGGCCTGGCGTGACCATAGCTGTGTCCCGGAGGAAGCCCACACGCTCACCGGACGCCCTCGGCCACCATGTGAGGACGTGTCTTCAGCCGCGGACATTATTGTCCGACCCCGCCCTGGGGGCGGCCAGTCCTGACGTCTCCCCGCAGCCTTCCCGGCTCGCAGGCCGGGGTCAGCCGGGCCCGCGCCCACCAGGGGAGACCCTGGACAGGCGCAGAAGCAGGTGCTGGGCTCCCCGCCTCCTCTCAGCCCCTACAAGGACAAACTCCCCGAGAAGGCCCCTCTGTCCCTGGTCTACCCGCCAGCACCGGCTCCCCAGCAGCCCCGTGCCCCAAACTAAGGTGGCAGCACCCCAACTGTGGGACTCTAAGCCTCCTTTTCAAAGTGGAAAGTACCACCCTCCCCCCAAAACTAGCCCTGGCTAAGACGACACCGTCACGGCTGTCCTTGAAAAGCCCTTGAGTGAACCGAACCTTCCATCGCTGGGGCCTGAGGGGACTTTGACCCCAGGCCTGGGGCCTGGACCGGGGCCAGGGATGTTCTGGTATTCCTCGAGCAAGGTCTCCTCCGGGCAGTGGAGACGCTGGCCTGGGGGGTAGAGTTGTTATGGGTCCCCTGGGAAAGGGGAGGTTCCCTGCCCAGCCTGGCGCTGGGCAGGGAGAAGCTGGCACGGAGGCTGGAGGAGGGAGGGGGAGGGGTCCAGAAGGGTCTGGGGGAGGCTTGTTGAGTTTACCAGGTACACGGCAGGCAGGGGTACCGGGGGGCCTCCGAGCCCCCAGCAGGTCTTCACGCTGGGCTCTCTGGCCTTCTCTGCTGGGTCTGTGCCTTCCTGTGGGTCCCCAGGAGGGGCCCGAGACCGGGGCGGCTCTCGGGCCTCAGTGGCCCCGCTTTGGGCCGACCCTGCTGGGCTGGACGTTCACCCACGAGGGGACGGGAGACTGGGGGGGGGGTTAACTGGAAACTGCTCCAACCCTGCTCCTTCTCTAGCTGCACTAGAGTCCCTGTCCATCAAAGGTCTCGCACGCTGGAGCATGTCCTGGCTTTATGCGGCGGATGACAGAACCCCTTAAGAGTGGGCAGGTTTGGGGGCCCCGGGGTCCCCCCCTGCCTGTAACAGATTGAGCCGTGTGCTTCCCGGCGGGGAGGAGAGCTGAGGAGTGAAAAACAACTTCCTGCGTTAGCGCTGGTGGCAGGAGCGGAGACGGGAAAGTGACCGTAGGGTCAAGAAAAGGCATCAGGCTTGTCTGCCCTCCGCCATCAGGACGGATGAGGGATCCTGCGGCCCCGAGTGCACGCCTGCTGGCGGCACCTGGAGTGGGGTGTGGGCAGGCGTAGGTGGCTACACCTGGGCTGAGAGACGGGGCTTCCAAGGGCGGGGACGCGGGCAGAACCACGGGAGCAGCAGAGAACGCGGCCAGCAGAGAAGGCCAGAGAGCCCAGCGTGAAGACCTGCTGGGGGCTGGGAGGCCCCCGGTACCCCCGCCTGCCGTGTACCTGGTAAACTCAACAACCTGCAAAAGCCACCGAGGGCTCCAGGACTCCCTCACCTGTCTGCTCGGGTCACAGCCCCTGCTCCGTGTCCTCCTGCTGCTACAGTGACTTTAAACAACACGGGGACAGAAGCAACAGATGAGCTCCAGGAAAGGACCCGCATTTCCCCGAAGCGTGGCTGAGCCAGCCCCCGCCTCGAGCGAGCTCCCGGCGCAGGGCCCAGAAAACACCGCCAGGAAACGTCCCGCCGCCCGGCGCCCGGTGGACAGCGCGCGCGTGGGCAGACAGGCCGGGGTCAGCGGCCTCCGCCCCGGCCCCTCCCGCCGTCAGCTCTGTCCTCTCGCTCCAGGAGCCCCCACGGCCTGGTGGCGGCTGCTGTTCCCCACCCGGCGCACACGCGGGCCCACGAGGCCCACGACCCCCGCTCTCCCGCCGCCGGGCTCCGCTCCAGGAGCTGCGCTGGAAGTGGGGGTGGCTGGTGGGGGTTCCGCCCGCGGCCCGCGCCTGCGGCTCAAGTCTGACGTTTAGAGTTTCAGTAAAAAAAAAAAAGTTCCAGCCAGCGGACCCGAGAAAATAGACTAATGGCCACGATCCGCCGACCCTTCCTTTGTTCTGTGCTACCCACTCGCTCGTCTGAACCGGCTCCCGCGGGGGCAGCCAGGGCTGCCGGCAGCTGCCTTCCCAGAAGCGCGCGGGATCTGACAGCAATTTGCCCGCAGAGAAGCCCGTGCGCAGTTAGAAAATCATCCTGCCTTTCCCTCCTTCGGGGGCTGGGAGAGGGGTGTTCACTGACACAGGCGCAACCGGGCACCCCAGCGCCCGAAGGCAGGACAGGACGCCCCTTCCAGAGCCAGCGGGGGGCCTGTCCCGGACCCAGTGGGGCTCGGGCTCCGCGCCCCGGGACGCGGTGATCAGCCGACTGAGGGCAAACCAAGGGCGAGAGGCCGGCTTGGAAAGCGCCCAGCGCCATCCCGGGGTGGGGTGGGGGGAGCGTCCGCCCACCGCCCAAGCTGGCTTTGGTTTTGTTCTCTGCTTTTAAAACGACACCCTGTGACAAGGAAGGATGAGGCTCCCCGTCGTGCGGGGTGACTGCCCTGCTGTGGGGATTGGCCATTTCTCGAAGGCGCTCAAGTCCGCACACCCCCTCCCCCGGGAACTAAACTCAAGAAGCTGACCATGTGCAATGCCGGGGGCTCGAGCGCCGCGAGAGGAGGTGCAGGGTAAGGAAAAATGTCAGGCTTTTCCGCCCTCCCGCCATCAGGACAGATGATGGATCCTGCGGTCCCGACTGCAGGCCTGATGGCGGCACCTGGAGCGGGGGGTGGGCCTAGGGAGATGGGATTCCCCTGGGCTGAGCCTGGGCTTCAAGGGTGGTGTCAAGAAGCCAAGAACGAAGAGAAGCCGAAGAGAAGCCAAGAGAGAAGCAAAGAAGCAGAAGCTGAGCGAAGGCCGGAGAGCCCAGATAGAGTGAGGACTTGCTGGGGGCTGGGAGTCCTGCCAGCTCCCGGCCCCCCAGCACCCCTGCCTGCCGTGTACCTGGTAATCCCAATAAAAGACCTGCAAAAGCCACTGAGGACTCTGGCTCCTCCTTCACCCGGTCTGCTGGATCCTAGAAACCCTGCCCTGTGTCCAGTCCTGCCCTTATAGGAGCGGTGAGGTGGCTGGGCGCGCGTCTGAGCCCCTGAATTCCTGGGTGTGGAAGACACTGGGAAGGGGGGAAGGGAAGCGAAGGGGGCTCTGGCAAGCACACGCCCTCACCCCAATGCCCAGCCCGGCCTTCGGGGCCTTCGGAGCCCTCACGTGGACGGGCCGCCTGGGGCCCCGAGGGCGGGGTGGGCAGACCAGCACCTCTCGGTGAGAACCCCTGAGGGGACGTTACCTCCAGGATGGCTGCCGACATGCCCTCGGAGATGGAGCTGTTGACCAGCGCGGAGCAGTTCTTCACCACGGCGTGGAGGTCGGCCTGGGCCATCTCGCCCACCAGCCGGACGCCCGCGCTCCTGGAACCACACGGCAGGGGGTTACAGCTGCCAACCGGGGGAGGGCAGGGAGGAGCCCTACATACAGCGCAGCGGGCCCCCTGCTGCGGGCGCCCTGGGAAAGCAGAAGTGGGGGCTGCTCCCCGCCCCACACCTGCGCGGGCGGGGCCTGGACACACCTGCTTCTGCTTCAAACGCACGTGAGGAAGGACACGGGCATCTGCGGGGGTCGGGGGGAGGGCAGAGGTGGGCTGGGCCATTTCCTGTTTGACTTTAAAATGCTTTCCCTGATCCACAGTCAGACTTGTTTCAAATTATTTGTTAAAATGCTAATAACAAATCTTCATGATAAACAGAAAACAAGGCCACAAATGCCCACCCAGAAGTGTCAGGTCTCATCCTGTAGGTCTCGGTTTTATTTTTCATGCAACTGCTCGGACACCCCCTCCTGCGGCAACCCCGCCGCTCATGTGCTGATGCTGGCCCTGCCCGCCCCGCACGCCCCGCACGCCCCACTACGGGCGACACCGACAACAAAGCATCTCCCAGGCCCCTGGCTGCTGGGGTGGAGGGGCTGGTGGGGGCAGGCCCAAGCGGGAGAGGCTCCTCCTGGCCGCAGTCTCTCACAGGACAGACGGAGGCGACCCCACAGCATCTGGCCACCGGAGGGGCGAAGGCTGAGTCCGGGGAGTCCTGGGCCAGAGACACCAGGCCCGGGCGGGTCCCAACGAGCCCCAGCGCGTCTGCGCCAGAGGCAGCCCGGGAGGCAGACAGCCCGGGCTCGCACCCCCGGGCAAAGCGCTCCTGAGAGGCACCACCGGCAGGTGCCGGAGCCTGGCGAGCCCCTCTCCTCCGCCTCCGCCGAGGTGACTCGTCTCACAGCGAGGCATCACCCCTGCCCTCCCAGGGAGCTGCCTCTGCCCCCACACCGCTTCCTTCCTGGGCCACAGGAGTCGGGGTGCCAGGGTCCCAGTGGGGGCGCCTGTGAAGTGCCGGGCCCAGGGAGGGCAGCATCGCCTTGGGGCCGGGTGACCCCAGCTCCGCCCCAGCCACCTGCTCTCAGCCTGCTCTTACCTCTCCACCTTGGCCTTGACCGCCCTGCTGAACACTGGGTCGACCTGCAAGGACACAAAGGCGGACTCAGGACAGCCTGCGGCTGCGTCTCCAGAGGAGTCCAGGCAACAGAGCCCGCGAGCTCAGGCGGAAAACCCGGAGCAGCGGGAGGAGGACTGAGGAGAGCCCCAGAGGACGGGGCACCCCCGGGGTGCACGGTGGGCCGGAAGGGCCCTCACGTGCCGTAGGCCTGCGGACCCCTGGGTCACTGAAGCGCTTTGATCTCTGACGTAACAAATCGGCTGCAGTGGGGAAGCTGTGATCACCCGGCCATGCTTACAAGGACGCTACTTCACAGTGGCCTGGAGCGCGCTGGAGACAGGCCGCGTGTCTCTCTCTCTCTCTCTCTCTCTCTCTCTCTCTCTCTCTCTCTCACACACACACGTGCATGCAACAGCATGGCCCGGGCACAACCGGCTCCGCCAGGTCAGATGCTGCAGATGCCACATCGACCCTGGCCACGAGAATCCACTTGTCCTGGGGGAGCCCAAACGCTGGCCTCGTGCAGGGCACAGGCCGGCCTGTTTGCAACTGCTTAAACGCGAACACTCAGCCCACGGCCTGACACGCGTGATGGCAGGGCCGCCTCGAGCCCGGCTTCTCTGCGGTGACACCGCACGAATAACAATGCAGACACTGCCACACCTTCCCGCTCTCCTTCCGCTCACAGTCACCGCCAGCACCGTCCGGGCCACGGTGGGGCCATGAACAGCAAGATAATATTCTTTTAAAAATAGGCGAAACACTCCGTGACTTACACCTCAATAACACCTTCAAAGACACATCCCCCAAAGCAGTGTTAGTGAAGGCAAAGATCAACAGCTGGGACGACATCCAATTAAAGAGCTTCTGCGCAGCAAAGGAGACAATAACAAAAACAAAGAGAAACCCCACCGACTGGGAGAACATTTTTGCACCCAACACTAATGATAAAGGACTGATCACAAAAATCTGCAAAGAGCTGATGAGACTCAACACAAACAAAGAAAATAATCCAGTCAAAAAATGGGCAGAAGAGCTAAAAAGAAACTTCTCTGAAGAGGAAATGCAAATGGCCAACAGGCATATGAAAAAATGTTCAACATCACTTGTCATCAGGGAAATGCAAATCAAAACGACCATGAGATACCGTCTCACACCAGTGAGAATGGCACGTATTAAAAAAACTAGCAACAACAAATGTTGGCGAGGGTGTGGAGAAAAAGGAACTCTCCTGCACTGCTGGTGGGAGTGCAAACTGGTCCAACCACTGTGGAGAGCTGTGTGGAGATTTCTGGACCTACTAAACATAGAGCTTCCATAGGATCCAGCGATTCCACTCCTAGGTATTTACCCGAAGGACACAGAAACATCCATTCCAAAGAGCACCTGCACCCCTATGTTTATAGCAGCACTGTTTACAATAGCTGAGCTTTGGAAACAGCCCAAATGCCCGAAAATAGATGACTGGATCAAGAAGATGTGGTCCATACACACCATGGAATATTACTCAGCAATCAAAAAAGATAAACTCATGCAGTTTGCAGCAACATGGATGGAGCTAGAAGGGATCATGCTCAGTGAAATAAGCCAAAAAGAAAAAGAAAAATATTGGACAATCTCACTTTTAGGAGGAATGTAGAGGATCCAACTAAGGGAAAATCAGAATCAACAAGCAACTATAAAGCAGAGACATTCTGCAGGGGGGAGAAGGCAGTAGGATCAGAAGAGGGCCGGGAAGAGCACAGGGACCGTGGTGATGGCCACGGGTGATGGTGGTGGGAATTTCACGGGACTCTACCTGAGAGGAGAAAGCACACATTGTACAAAAATGAAGACCGATGTACAAAATACATAAAATTAAAAAGAAAAATAAAAACAAACAAAAAACAGACAACATTCTTTGTTTCTGAGAATGAAGCCTCTCCCCGGGGGAGCGCTGGTCTCCACGGGCGGCCCAGGGGCCTCTGGGCAGAGCAGTTCCACATTTGGCACGGACAGCACATGGGCTGGCGCCTTCCAAAGGGCCCGCCGGACGGGCCTTGCATGCCCCTGTGAAGGTCTGCTTGGGCATCCTGGCAATTTCTCACAGCAGGCGCTGCGGGGCGGCCTGTGTGTGCGTCTGACGGCCTCCTGGCCAGGGCTGTTTCCCGGGGCCACGCCTGCGACAAGAGCCACGCCCGTGACACGCAGCTTCCTCGCCCTCCCGGCAGGGGGCGCGGTCTAGACGGGCTTTTGCCCCCACTTGCTTGCTGGGCGCTGTGCTCCTTCCCCTCGGCCCTGGGCGGGGCTCGGAGCCGCAGGCAGCCCTGCGGTTAGTGCTGGTCTTGGGGTGCCAGGTGGTTGCCAGCGCAATTCTACTTCTAAAAAGTTCTTCAAAGAAAAAACTCACAACTTGTCTATGGTTGTTAATAGTCCAGACTTGTTGGCCAATTACTCTGTGCCAAACCCACACCAGGTCCTCTCGCATGCCTTGCCTTAGTGCCCTGCAACAGGCTGGCAGCATCACCCCACTTCAGGCAAGAAGACCTGGGCCTCCAAGAGCTTGTGACTAACCTGGGACCACACCGCGCAGGGGCTGGGTCAGGGCGAGTTCAGCCCCGGCAGGGAACTGGGTTCTGAGCCTACGCTCTGCAGCTCGCCGCGTCCACTCCAAGGACGTCCTCCGAGTCCACGCAGGTCCCGGAACAACGCTCAGCAAGGTGAGCCCCCACTCCTACTCCTGCCTCGGTCTCCCCAGCGCTCCCGGGCAGCTCCTCCCCAAGCTTTTCTACCCCTCGGACCAGACACAGGCCAGCACCTGACGTCACGGCATCCTCGGGCCCCTGCTCCCCGGAATATGGCCCAAATGAATGCTGTCCGGTAACCCCTCACTTCCCACGTCTGCTCCTTTTGGGGTGAAATGACCCTAATCAACTGAATCACATTATAGCCCCGATGCCCAGGTCAAGCAAGGCTTGTGGCTCAGCGCATTAATTTTCAAATTCATATTTTACTTAACGATCATCTCCAGCTAGAAATGCCTCTTGAAGTTAATGGCACCGGCAGCCTTCTGCTCTCGTGATTAAATGTTTAGGCAAAAATAATGTCAAGGCAAAAAAAAAAAAAAAAATCACATTTTACAAGACCGCTGAATTACCTAACACTCTAAAATTTAACTGCAGGTGTCCCTGAGACTTTGAAGCTGGAGTCCCAACCGCACTGAACTCTCGAGATCCGCCTTCCACATCAGTTCATTTTCAAATCTCTTAGTGAAGCCAAGTGGAACAAAACCCAAGATAGAAGCAAAAAGAAGGGTAGATATTTTTGTTTAATGAAAGCACATGTTATGAAATTTTAAAAAGCAGAGCCAGGCAGGCAGCAAGGAAAATTCTCATTTCCTCCTTTGGAGCTTATTTATTTTCTAGCAGAATATATTGTTTCAACTCCCAGGCTTAAGGAAAATAATCTCCGACATGAGGAGTGTTTGCAGGAAGTCATTAAGCGGCCCTCTCGCCCCGCTCCCCCAGCGCCCTCATCAGAGAGCCGGGGCCGCCGGCTCTCAGGGTCCGCAGCGGAGCGCGCTTCGCCCCAAGGGCTGAACTGAGAGATCAAAGCTGCTGGAACAGGAAACCAAAGCCAAACGCCGACGGGGCAACACGGAGCCCTGCCATCCACGGGGTAAGGCGACCCAGCCCGGGGCCCTGCCTCAACGCCCCTGCCAGCCCGCACCGCCCACCCCGGCTCAGGCCCAGAGTCCTCACACCAAGGAGCGGGCAGCCTTGGACAGAGGGGAAACCGAGGCACAGAGGCCCCTGCACCGGCAGCCTCGCCCTCCACTGCCCGGTCAGGCTGCACGGCCAATCTGCCCAGAGCGCGTCAGACCATGTTGCAAACCACGCAATCGGTCTTGGGGCACAAGCGTAGCTGGCAGCGGTGGTGCACAGAAGAGCGTGGCAGGGAGGGCGCCTGTGCCGACGGTGGGTGTGTTAGCAAGCGCGTGGCTTTGTCGGGGGGTCCCGTGAAGCAGCTGGGGGGTGAAGGGAGTTTCCTGGACCCCCCGGCCACCTGGACCCCCAGACCACCTGGGCATCCAAACGCCCAGGATGACCAGGCCACCCAGATCCCCAGGCCACCCAGACCCCGTGGAGCGCCCCAGAACCCGGGAGCAGCCGGGCCCCCCTGGCCCCACAGGCCACCTGGACCCCAGGCCCCATCTGCCTGACGGGCTGCTCCCACTCTTGGCTGCGCGCCCGTAAGTGACCTGTATTTCCAGAAGAGTTTATCAGTCATCTGTGCAGCCACACATTAACCGTCAAGACTTAAAAAGCCTCCTAGACTCGAAACCTCAGTCTGGTTTTCATTTAAAAAATAGAGGCTTTATTTCCTTAAAAAGACAAATGGGTGAAACCAATTTATAAACCTAATTTTATAAAATATTTCGAAGAGCGTCCAGAGGAAGACAGAGCTGAGAGAAAGGTTTACAGGCCGCCGACTTACTTCAGGGCCTACGATCACCATGTAGACACTGGGCTCCTCTCGGTGCCATTCTGGAGGGAGACATGGGGGGAAAAGCCTTTTTAAATGGTTTTAAGTCACAGCTGAAAACACAAGTTTAATATAAACTACTCCTCACACAGATGATTCCAAATCACTTCATACCGGCCAGTTCAAACCACATCCCAAATGTAAACAGTATATTTTATGCTTTTAAGCAAAATATTATTTCCAGAATGTTCCGTCATCCCTATCTTTGTGTTCAACGGGCTAATAAGCCTCTGCAGCTCATCACGGCCCGAGGCTTCTCCGAGAGCAGACGCCGGGACCAGCCAGCGTCCCAGGAAGTGGCTCCAGCCCCACCGCCCAGGCCCAGGGGACGGGACAGCCTGATCGCAACAGAGCACGCTGCTCCCTCCCACGGGGACCCTCAGGTGGGCCCCAGGAGGGCGACTCGGGAACCGTACCTGAGAAAGCGTCCAGCAGGAACAGGGGGTCCTTGACCTGTCTCAGGCCACATATCAGGAGGAACACGTGCAGGCGGTCCGCGCCGCGGCTGATCCCTGCAACAGAGGGCAGCCCGCTCAGGGGAGGCGGCCAGGCGACTGCGCGGGTGCTGCCGCCGCTGCTCACTGTGTATTGGGTCCACGGCCGGGACTGGACCCTGTCCCGGTGGGAAGCCCGCGCTGAGCTGGGCCGGGTACAGGGAGGGGCCCAGGGCCTGAAGCATGGGCAGGGGCCCTAGAAATATTTAGACCCAATTCCAACTGGGCAGAACAGCGTCCTTGTGAGACTTGGAAGGTTTGTATGTGATGCACTCGTGGGCCAGGTCTGGAGTGTGGGTGTCGCATTTCATGAATGCAACCCCCGAGAGGCAGAGGGAGAGGTTTGCATGGCCAGACAGAGGCTACAGTAAGCCGGGCTGAGGTTGGGACCATGCTCCCGGCTGAGCTGGAGGAGGCTGGGCCGGCCCCACCAGGCCTCAGCGGCCTCTCAGGGCAGGTGAGTCCAGAGACCCTGGGGAAGCAGGGCTGAGCCGCCCGCCCGCCCCTGCCCGCCTGGCGACAGCCAAGCACCAAGCACAAAGCCAGGAGCTACTCAGGGCGGTGCTGAGTCACTGCAGTCATGGGGCAGCTGTGCAGGACCAGCTACTGATTCAACAGAAATTACTGAGGCAATTAATGCAAGCAACCTAAAGTGTCACCACCTACTAACGCTTATAACCAGACGTGAACCGAGCAGGGAACAGCCTCCCATTCACGTCACGCCTTCGAGCATTGCTTACAGCAAGCAGTTGCTCTGCGCTTTTGTACGTTTTGAATGGGAACATAATTGCTCTGAATCTAATAAGATCCACAGGCATCTCTTATCACACTCACAGAAGCAAAACAACAAGAACACATCCCCGGCGCAAGGAGACCCCCCACTGGAGGGTCACACTGCTCTGGTGCTGCCCCGGAGTGACCACCGCCTCTCCACTGGCTGTGGATAACACATCCTGTCATGTGTGTTTCAGTGGATCTGCCTGTTCTGCTCCCCACTCTGTCTCTGGGGAGTCCTCTCACCCCCCACACCTCTGGCCTGCACCCCAGCTCTTGCATGCATAAATAAATAAATCTTTTAAAAAGGGGGCATCATCTGACGTAGATTCCATTTACAGGAATGTGTCTCTAAGAAAACAGTGGGGCGCACAGGTGAAGACAAGTCTTAGCCTCTTTACGGCAACACATCAAAAAAGGATAAAAAAATCTACATGTCCAACCAAGGAATCAATCAAAAAAATTTACAGAATTCAAAAAAATACTGTAAAGACATTTAAAAAATCATGATGTAATTAGAACTGACCGGCGTGTAAGACTGCAGGAGCCGATGCCGATGCACTTTATTTCCACATGTTGGAAACGATTCAAAAATGAAAACTGCCGAACCCCCACTTAAAAAAGCATCAGGAGCAGTCACATTCTTCAGAATAATTTTTTTGAAGACACGAAAGACCTGTACACATTATCATGAAGCTAAATAGAACGTAAATAAACGGACAGGTATATTATGTTCACAGATCTGAAGACAAATGTTTGCTAAGAAATCAGTTTCCGCTGAAGTGATCTATAAACTCATGACAACAAGGTTTTACAGAAACTGACCAGATGATTCAAAGTTTATTCACTTTAGCAAACCCCCTGGAGTCACCAAAGCAAATCTGAAACACAGTTGTTGGCTAATAGACTGGATTTTCAGGCTCCGCATGAACGCACAGCAACAGGCCTCATGACACTGGCAAGGACAGGCTGGCGACCCGCGTGACACCCACGCCACACCGACTGCAGCACAGGCCCGAGCAAGTCAGTTGTGGCAGGAAAGTGTTCTCAGTAAATGGCACTGGGACTGCAGAGAGGGAAAGGGCTGAGTCTTGATCCCTGCCTCACACTGCACACAAAACATAATTTGAGATGGGTTATATCCTAGTGAAAAAGCTAAAATGCTAACATATTAGAGTCAAATTAAAGGAAATATCTCCACAGCCCAAGATCTCTTAGATGAGACTGACAAAGCACAAGTCACTACAGACAGCATGGATAAACACAACACATGTCTGCTCCGGCCCTCAAGAGACACGGCTAAAACATGGAAAGACACGTCGGAGAACGGGAGAAAATGTGCCTGATCCACAAATTGTACGAAAGCCTTGTGCCGAATTCTTTAAAGGCTCCCACAAACCCAGGGTGACAAGACAACATCACAGTCGAAACGTGGGCAAAGCCTTGGCAAGTCTTCACCGAGGAAGGCCCCCAAGTGGTCTGCACGGAAAGGAGCTGAACCTGCCCCCCGCCGCCACGGGGAGGCGACCACCCACACCCCAGGCCCCGTCACTATCCCACGGAGCCACTGGGGTGAGAGGCCCGAGGCCGCGCACGCCACTCCCCTCCCCTGGCCGGGGCAGGCCCTGACCCGCTGCTTGTCAGTGACGCGTGTCCACACCACAGTGACGCATGTCCACACCGCAGTGACACATGTCCACATTGCAGTGATGCATGTCCACATTGCAGTGACGCGTGTCCACTCCACAACCCAGCCCCCTGGAGCAGCCTCTGCCCCGGGGCAATCCAAGCTCGGCCCCGGGATGCTGGGCAGGGCCCCCTCCCCGCTCAGGGAGGCCACCCCACAGTCCGCAGCCAGAGAGCTGGGGGGCTGTGGGCGGCTGTGTGGCAGTCCCGTGCCCCGTGGGGTCACACCAGGTGGCCCAGGTGTGCTCAAGGCTGTGCCCCGCAGGTGGCTGGAACCACTCTGTGGCCGTAGCAGGACAGAGCTGGTGGTGCACTTCCCAGAAATCACGGCCAGGGCGGGTAAGTGGGCACCACTCAGAGACACATGAGTCACAGGCACGCGGGGCAGGGTGGGCGGGTCCCGGAACATCACCGGGCAGCAGAAGCCAGACACACGCTCAGCAGCAGGCGGAGGGGCGACGGGAAGCTGGGGTGGAGAGAGGGCAGCCGGGGGCCTGCACCTCTGCCCGGGGCCACTGGCATCCCACCTGGAGTCTACCTCATACAGCAAGTTTTCCTTCAGAAATCACTTTTTAGAGATCGAGGAACAGGGCGGGCCAGCGCGGGGAGGAGAGCCGCTGGGGCTGTCTCTTCAAAACCATTCCCTGCAGCCGCAACGCCCACGGCGGGGGCTGCGTGCTCACGTGTCTATTTAGGCCAGGACAAGGTCGCATCTGCATGAGATACGACGCTAAACGCTTGTGTCGTGAGATACTAACATGTGCAATTAGAGCAACTGCCTGTCCGGCACGCAGCACGGCTGAGATTGTGCACGCACACGCGTCATTCATAGTGCCGCGTGCGTCTACAATGTGGCGATAGAATTATACGCTTCCTATATAATGATGTTTAAAAGACAAAACATACAAACGCTGTCGATATACAATGTTCCCATATAAACACCCCAGCTCGCTGCGCACACGTTCCCCCCGCCCCGTCCGCAGGTCTCTGTGCTGCTGAGGCTGGGCGGGGCCTGAGCTGGGGCTGACCCGCTCGTCTCACAAAGGTCATTTCTACTGTGAGCAACTGGTCAAGCGTCGAGAGCCTGAGGCTGCAGCCCCGGGGGAGGAGGGCCTGGGGCGGCCTGAACCTTCCAGGGGGGATGGGCAGGTCAGAAGGGCCAGGTTCTCACGCCTCCAGCCGGGGGGCCCTGGGGGGCTGTCTCTGAGGTCAGAGAACTGAGCTGACCCCCTCCCCCTTGTCCCACCTAAAACAGCACATCCCCTGGGCCCGCAGCCTTGTCGCCCATGTCCAGGGCAGCCTGGGCAGTGTGGACGCCGTGGACGGACGCCCTCAACCAGGGGCCCGGAGGAGTGTCTCTTACCCAAGCGCTCCAGAAAGGCGTCCCAGCTAAAGGTGGGGTTCGGCACAGCTGCAACTCCTGGGCCAAAGGGAAGAGAAGATACAGAGGTCACGGCCTGCGACACACGTTACTGGTGTTGACTGGGGTCTGGGGCTTCTCACACCGTCTGGAAACCCCGACGGACTGTGGAGCAGGTGGGCTCCTCCAGTTCATCTGCGGAATCGGGGGTTCAAAGAGTTGCCAGCACATTTAAAAGGCCGAGGTGTGCAGGCAGAAGAGCAAAGCTGCTGGGCCTTGGTGTCAGTCAAACCCTGCGCGAGGACGGAGCCCCCCCGACCCTGGGTGAGGACGGAGCCCCCACCCCCAGCCCTGACCCTCCACACGCCTGCACGGGTGCATCCTCCTGAAGAGGGGGTCGGAGAGCGAGGCCATTCGGTGAGTGCGCAGCTACAGGCGTCACTGAGGCCGCGGCACCTGCACCAGGCCACGTGCGCCGTGGAGAAGGGGGCTGGGCCGGCCTGGGGCCCCGCCGTGTCAGCCCCCTGGAGCTGCTCCCGCCATGGTTTCCGCTGGGCCCCGCGGGGGTTGCCGGCACTTTGGGAGATGCTGGGGCTTCGAGAAAGCTCATCGGAGGCACCTCTGGGGTGGCCCGGGGCGGGGTGGGGGGCAGGGCCTGACCCCACAGCTCAAGTTCAGACTTGTGGGCCTGAAGGCGCAGCCCGGCTCTGCCTGGGACGGCCCGGGGTGGGGGCGGGGGCTGTCCCTGCCGGCCACGACCTCCTGCGACGGGCTCCGCAGAGCGCCCTCCCGTGGTGCCCCAGCTCCCCTGCCAGCCGCCACCCCGAAGTAACACAAGCACCCCACTAATCGTGAGAGTCTCGGCACCGCGCTGGCGCCTCCGCACACGGTCCGGCGCACCCCGGGCGAGCTTCAGGCTGCAGGCGCGTCCGGAGACTCACCTTGGCTCTGGACGTGGATCTTGCCCCGAGCGTGCGGCTTTGAAGAGAGGAGAAAGGGGAACAGTCAATTGGCGGGCCCGTGGTCAGGGCTTCACGGAAATAAAACGTCCCCCAGGAAGTGTCTGGGAAAGCAGCCCCAAGGGTCCGCCCCGCAGCGCTCATGGCCGCTCGCTCCCCGCGGGCAGAGGCTGCCGGGCCGCCAGGAGCAGGCAGAGGCCGGGCCGGGGCCGGGGCCGGGGCGCTGCACGCCGTGGTCGCAGGAAGGTACCGGAGCTCAGCGTGGAACATGCCGGGGGGCCCTTCTGGTGCATGTGGGGGGAGGTGGACATTGGGGGTGCAACCCCCGCGGGGCGAGTCCCCCCACTCTTGGGAAGGGAAGGGCGCGGGGAGGAGGGAGAGGAAGCGGGGAGCAGGGTGACCCCATGGCTGGGCGGCGGCACTGGGCGGGGGTCCTGCCAGGACCCGCCGTGGCCCCGCTGGGAGGAGGGAAGGCACGGCTGGCGAGGCTGCTCTGGACACTGGCACCAAGACAGACACTTACTCGTCCTCCTGGTGCCGGGCAAACCTGGCGAAGCTGGCCAACCCTCAGAGGGCCACCAGGGAGAAAGAATCCGCGTCTCGAGCGCCTCTGGAAGCGCAGCCCGGTACTGCCTGGCCGGGTCAGGAGCCAGGGTGCACGCGGGGGGCGGAGGGAGGGCCCCTGTCTAGGGCTGCGGGTCCCGGCCACACCAGGGTGGCTTCTCTGAAGACACCCTTTGGGACAAAGCCCCCCGGCGCGTCCTCCCGCCCGTGGCCCAAGCCGCAGGTCAGCGCGGGGGACCCGGCTGGCGCATGGACGGCTGTCACGGCCACCACACCCGTCCTGGCTCCTGACCGCGGGGCCTGGGCCGCTGGGCTGCGGGAGTGGAGCGCTTGGCTTCTGGGCCTCACACTCCGGGACACAAGCTCCGGGAGAGGGAGGCTGGTGGGGAGACGCGGCGCGGGCGGCCGGGTCGCGCCCCAGGCTCCACAGCAGGTGGGGGCTGGGGTCTCGCAGGGAGAAGCCTCTGAGACCGCTGAAGCCTTGACCCCCTCAATTCATCAACAGGCAGGGATGCCAGTGCCCGACATGGCCTTAAAATTGCAAACCCCTAAAAAAAAGAGGCTCAAAAATCTCTTCTCTAACGGTTAAAGAAGACATTAACTTTCATGGGATTAAAGGCTCACACCAGTCACCTGGGATCAGGACCTGCAGTTCCGAGCCCTCGAACACGCCTGTGGTTTAACTACCTTTTCCCTAGAAGGCGGGAGGCGACTTTACTGCCAGGCGCTGAGGCCGGGAACGCCTTCGGGCCCAGCAGAGGCCTGCACGGGGGACTCCGAGCGCCATGGAAGTGTATGGGGTGGCCCTTAACTCAGAAGCTGGCATGGGGTGTGGCATCGGGTTCAGTATCGTTACGTATCAACGGATGTGGCCTGCGGGTGGCAGAGTAGGGCTGCCGGTCATGCCCCCGCCCTGTAAGGAGCACGGCCTGGCACTCGACGCAGAATAGCCCACGTGCCCTTCCAGGCCTTTCTAGACGAGCAAAAATCAGTGAATCAGACAGAGATCGCAACGCTGCGAGCAGCATGAATGGTGGGAGGTGAGACCTTCCGGGCTGTCCCGTTGGACTTGACCTGTCTCTGAGCAGGGGCTCCAAACCCCACTGAACACCTGTAAAAATAACTATCAAGTCCTATACAGGCTTTTAAAACATTGTCATCCGTGGCATTTTAAGATTTCATCCAACGAAATCAAGAAAACTGAGTCAGGGGCCTCCCTGGTGGCGCAGGGGCTAAGTCTCAGCACAATGAAGCTGTCCGCAGCCTCTGCAGCACGAGTTCGATCCCCGGCCAGGGAGCTACCCACAGGGCGCGGCAGACTCTCCTGTCTCCCCGCTGCTCCCCTCAGCAGTGGATTTCAGTGGATCCGCCTGTTCTGCTCCCCACTCTGTCTCTGGGGAGTCCTCTCAGCTCTGGCCTGCACAAATAAATAAACCTTTTTAAAAAAAGAAACAAAGAAAACCGGGTCGGAGGATAAGAGACGCCTGGGTGTGGGTTATTTCTAGGCATTGTCACAGAAGAGGTGTGGCCAACGCCAACTGGCTCGGTTGATTTGAAAAGCATTTCCCATAGAAATGTTCTAAATACAAATCAGCTTTTCTTGCCCGATGTGAATGGTCGTTTCGCTTGCCTTGAAATAACTCATAAGCCAAAGTCGTGTGTGTCACCAGCCTGCAAGATTAACTCAACGATGCATAAAGTAAAGGAGTTTGGGGGGGAGGGGGGTTCTCCACTTCTAAGGCTCTGAGAAACCATTACTGAATTTGGCCCGTTACCAGATATAAAGAGCCGGTGTCCTGGTGGATGCAGAGCTATAAATACATGTGATTTGTAACAGACCCAAACGCTAATTTATGTCTTTTTATAATAGAATAACAGGCAGCAACAACTAAAAGATTTCCCACTTTTGATTAATACAACCTTCTGCTGTGAAGCTTATTGCAAGGAGAAACAGCAATAAATACTGGTTTTGACGTATATGCGCAAAGTCATACTGTATAGGAGGCAAAAATATAAATTTTTCCTTGGTAAGTACAAGTTCTGACGGTGGCTTTATTAAAAGCACTTCCTAAAGCTTCCAAGTTGCTCAAAGGGAATCCTGGCTCATCAGCTCAAAGCTCTCAAACACCTAGGCCCAGACATATTTTTTTTAATGCATACAGGAGCTGGGGTGCAAGCCAGAAGCGCAGGGGGTGAGAGGACTCACCAGAGACATATCAGGGAACAGAACAGGCAGATCAACTGAAACACACTGCTGAGGGGAGCAGCGGGGAGACAGGAGAGGTCTGCCGCGCCCTGTGGGTCAGGTCCCTGCCTGGGGATCGAACTCATTCTGCAGAGGTGATAGCCTGAGACTCAACCCCTGAGCCACGAGGGAGGCCCGGAGGCTTGCCAATCTTAAGAGAAGTGATTAAAAACGATTCATTAGTGTAGGTGGTGGGAGGCTCGGAATTGGGCTGCTCGGTCTCCAGGACAAGGCATCCGACTTGCCAGACACTCCTGTGACATCCCCTGGAGATGCACCTGCTGCTGCTTCTGCCCTGCCTGTGCCGCCATGATGCCCAGAGATCACAAACCTCTGGGGTGAAATCAAGGAGGCTCTGAAGCCTCCTAAAAACAGGTTTATTTTACAGGAAGTAGACATCACGCTGCCAGAAAACTCTGTGCTGAAGGTATAACGTGACAACCCTAGTGTTCCATTTGGGTGGCTGGTGTCTGATGGGGCATCAGGTAAACATCTCGACACTTAAAAAGTAGTTCCAGAAACTTGAGCAGCAGAAACTTGGAGGAGGCTCTCAGGGTGTCCACCCTCTCTGTCCAAGAGGCAGCATCCTGGCCAATGCCCAGGGCCCAGGGCTCCTCACACACAGCCTGAGGGCTGTTCTGTATTCAGTGGTGCCAAATAAATGTGGACATTCCTCTCCTGGCTGGTGGGGCACTAGTGTGTCACCTGAGGCTGCTTTCTAGGAGTCCCCGGCAGGGAGGGTGCTGGGGGGCAGCAGTCCAGCTGTCTCACTTTCCCCCTGTGTGAGCATGGACGCGGCTCCTCCCGGGACGGGGCACGTACGGAAGAGGGCTCGTCCCTGCTGCTGCCCGAGCGCGTCGCTTCCTCACGAGAGAGCCAGGGGAGTGTGATCGGCTAATAACTGTGCAGTCACGAGAGGGGCGTCCGGGCGGACACCGGATGCCGCGGGTGGAGCCATTCCTGGAGCTCTTCCCACGGTCGCTGCGGGGAGGGGCGGCGTCCTGACGGGGGTCTAAGGATGCGCTGAGGAGAGGGGGCATCTCAAGTTCCCCTGATGGTAGAGGCGACCCTAAAAGACCTGCACTGTGCAGTCTCGCGCTGCCAACGGGAACCCTGGAGATGACCGGACATAGGGCATGCGGGGCGGGCGGCGATAAGCAGGCCGGCGGGATCTCACAGTGGGGCAGGCGGCCGCTGGCCCCAGGCGGGCTCGAGCCCCCTGCCGGGCACAGGGAGCTGACAAAGTGCCTCTCGTCTGCATTTTGATTCCAAAAGAATCGCCCTGAGCCATCGGACACCCTGAAAACGGAATCACCTTTGGCGTAGCATCTCATACAGCAGCTTCCAGAACCTTCTCCTTGAACAAGCACTAAGGCACTGAGCATAAATGAGCCCCGGAAGACAGAGACTCAAAGATTTCAAAATTAAAAAAAAATCTCACTGCGAGTGAAAGGCCAGGAAGCCAGCTCAGCGCCACCTCGGCCAGGGCGTCCGTGGGCCACGTGGACACCTCTGTGCTTCGGGATTTGATAAGCACTTCGGGTAACCTTCCCTCCAACTCAGTACTTTTGAAAAATCGTTCATAAATATTTGAATTTAGAGAAAGCGCTCTTAGCAGAGTACTTACTGGAAAAGGCCTGTGAACAGAGCAGTTACATTTCTCATGGGCCTGTGGGACTTTGAGCCCGAAGAGACCTATTAAATAATAATCATGGCTCCTGCAGACAGAGGGCCTGCCGCTTGGATGCGCCTCTGACCTGTTTTGATTTGGTGTGTGCGTGAATTATTTACATTTTCTGCTGAAAAGCTGGTGCATTAGGGAGACATTCTAAACTTGGCCTACAGCACCCAATTCTGCATTCTGACTGCCTGTCACGTAGGGCGATAAGGAATCAAAATTCCGTATAGATGCCTTTTAATTTTCCACAATGTGGATCTCACGGTGGTGAATCCAGTTCTCAGTGTCGCTCACACACCTGCAGATCAGTGCTGCACGGAACGAGCCAGTGCTGAACCCGCGTGACAAACACGGACAACCTGGTTGCAAGACCTCCAGCCCACGGGCCTCTTCCACACGCTCGGTGCGGTGTCAGGAAGGGAGACAGAAACGACACTAAAAAATGACAACTGGGCCAAAATGGAGGCATTTGGCATTAAAAGAGATCAAATGCGACCATCTTTATCGAATGCCTCCCTGGCGGCACAAGGGGTTAAGTCTCAGCACTATGAACCTATCAGCAGCTAGTGCAACACAAGTTCGATCCCCGGCCAAGGAGGTGACCCACACGGCACAGCAGACCTCTCCTGTCTCCCCGCTGCTCCCCTCGGCAGTGTGTTTCGTCAGTCTGCCTGTTCTGCTCCCCGCTCTGTCTCTGGTGAGTCCTCTCAGGCCCTGTGCCTCTGGCCTACACCCCAGTTCTTGTGTGCATAAATAAATCTTTAAAAAAAAAACAATCTTTATTGAAATCCAAAAAACCTAATTTGTGCCAAGTCCATCAGACAGCTCGATCATAAACTCTGCCCCCCAAACTAAACACTCACTCTCGGGGGGCTGAAATTTGTCCGTGGCATGTTAGGTAAGCCCAGTCCTGGGCAGTTCTGTTCATCTGTCTCCCACTATCGAATACTGTAGGAGCACAGGTTTTGGAAATCTTGAAGCAGGCCACTCTCCTCGAGTAAGTCCAGTGTGGGACTGAGTCAACATGTCAGCCACAGGGCACCAGACGCAAGGCCAAGTGGGCCGAGAAGGACCGTGAGCATAGGATGAACACTGGCTCTCACGGATTGTACCGAAATACGTAAACTATCTCATTAGTAAAGCTGATGCTGACGCCATGTTGAAATGGTTTTGGAGACGGTGGGTGTGCAGAGCACGGGTCCCGGGGTGTGGGCTTGCGCTGGGCCTCCGGGGTTAGTCTGCGGCATCCTGCCAGGGGCCAGTCACAGCAACCGTCCTGGGGGCCAGCCCAGGCCAGAGGGCCCAACAGTGAGAGCTGGTGGGGAGCTCTGGGTGAAGCGGCCTCAGCTGACCTGGGGCTGAGCTGGACCACACGGGCAGGGAACCTACAAACCCACCAAGTCTCCATACAGAAGCCCAACAAACGAGCTGGAACACAGCCCAGGTGTCTCCCTGGTTGGCAGAAGCCCCCGCATGCTGTGGAGACAGGAGGATGGCATGCCCGGCCCACGGGGAGCCAGAGGAGGCGGCTGCACGCGGGGTCCCTTTGGAAGGCCTCACCCTGCATCTGCCCGGCAATAGACCCTTCCCGAGCACACGGCGCTCGAGTCCTGGGCCCTCCCAACAGATTATTAATACCAAGCCCGGGCAGTGCTGGAGCCCCGACGCGGCTGGTGTAGCGGCAGTCTCGGGCACACAGCCCTGAGCGTTGCCCTTGCCTCACCCCCGCAGTGGGTTGCATGAAATATAGTGCTGGGCCTCCCCGGTGGCGCAGCGGTTGAGCGCTGGGCTGCGAAGCTGCCCACAGCCTCTGCAGCGCCGGTTCGATCCCCGGCCGCCAGCGAGGGTCCCCCATGGCGGGCAGACCTCTCCTGCCGCCCGCTGCTCCCCTCAGCAGTGCTTTCGGTCCTTCTGCCTGCTCTGCTCCCCGCTCTGGCTCTGGTGAATTCTCTCACCCTCCCGCGCTTCTGACTGTACCCAGTGCATGTATAAATAAATAAAATAAAATCTTTAAAAAAAAAAAAAAAGAAATATAGTGCTAAAGTGCATGATACTTGTTTCCACTTTTTGAAATGTGGCGACCAGAAGATTGGAATGACCTGGCAGGCTCGCCCCCGCAGGCGGCCCCTGTTCCTCTCACGCCAGACCGAGAGCGCGCCTGCGTCAGGTGAGTTCCCCTTGAAGCAAAGTCTGAGCAAACACAAGTGTTAAGCTAGATTTTAGGCTCAAAACTACATTTGTGGGCCTCCCTGGTGGCGCAGGGGTTAAGACGCAACCTATGAAGCTGTCCGCAGCCTCTGCAGCACAAGTTCGATTCCCGGCCAGCCAGGGAGAAACCCACATGGTGGGACAGACCTCTCCTGTCTCACCCGCTGCTCCCCTCAGCAGTGTACTTCGGTCCGTCTGCCTGTTCTGCTCCCTACTCTGTCTCTGGGGAATCCTCTCACCCCCCTGTGCATCTCTGGCCTGTACCCCAATTCTTGTATAAAAAATAAATAAATCTTAAAAAAAAAACAACAAAAACTACATTTGTCTGCAAAAACCCTTCCTAACATATGCCCCCCACTGTTGAAATCACAAAGCAATAAGCAATTGCTACAAACCTGTCTAACCTGGGGTGATTAGCATCTGAGTCTTGCTTGATAATAACGACGTAGGATTAGCTGTGACCTGGGCTGAGCCTGTCTCTAAAGCAAAAAGCACAAAATCTCAAACCAAGGCCGGCAATTCGCACAAGAGCAAAACTTCCTCAGACCCAGCATCGCTGCTCAGAGCACATGAGTAGCAGCAATCTCGCCACAAAGACCCGTCCGGTGGCTCCGGCATGAACCTTTATATCAATGACACAGTTTCCATCTGCAAAACTCAATCAAGCAAAGGTATTGAGCTGAACTTTACAGAGAAATCACCTACCAAGGTAGAAAAAGCTGCATTAAGAACAGGTTCCATTAGAATTGGCTAAGCCGCCGCGCTGAACCACGAAAGCAAACCCACCCGTCTCTCATCAGCTTCTATTCCAGCGCCTCTCCCCAGCATCCCGGACCGATCTTGCTCACTTCCCAGTGTGCTCTTTTTTTTTGTTGTTGATGCCTCAACTTCCCCCATCCTCGTGGCTGCAGCTGGAGGAGGGCCTGAAAACAAGGTGCTGACCCCGGTGTAGCCACCGCCTGCCGGGGAACCTGAGTGACAGGTAAGGCCGCGGAACGCAGAGGAAGGTGGCCTGGAAGGTGGCCTCGCGGCTCTGACGGGGCACGTCCCTGCTGCGCCTGCCCCACCAGCCTCCCGGGGGCTCCTAGTTCTTAATCCTCCTAAAAGCTTCAACCCAGGGGGGCTGGCCTCGCGCACTGGCCTGACCGTGACTCCAGGGCCCAGCTCTGGGCCCCCACCTGCCCGAGCCTGCGCCTGGACGTGCACCCCAGCCCACACCTGAGTCTGACTCAACACCTGGAACGCCGAGGACCCCTCGTCTCCCTTCCCCATCCACTTCCTGCGCTCGGTCGCTTCAAGATGACCCGATGGAAAAGCTCGCGCGTGCCCTCAAGCCCGTCTTCCTTCCTTCCCCGCCGTGGCCGGCCCGCACAAAATCACCCGCCGTGTGGTGCTTACGTGAAGAGATACACCGCGGTGTGCTTAGGAGGCCAGTGGCACCCACTCCAGGACACGGGCGACGGCCGTGGCTTTGACACATTCTGTGCAAGCAGCCACGGGCGGGGGCGGAGGGGAAGGCTGGAGAACGGTGGGGCCCCGGCATCCGCCCCATGTCCAGCCGGGACAGCGTTCACTGACCACGAGGGGGCGCCCCCGGGATGCAGGGTGGACCCACTTCGCCCCATCCCCAGGGGCCGCGGGGAAGGAAGGCGTCACCCAGGGGGGAAGCGCTCAGCGTGGCTGGTTATTAAAGGCCCCTTCCACACCACCCTGCGGCCTCACCCCTGCAAGGCCACCCGAAGGCCTCCCCGGGAGCATAGATGCTGGGCCCCAGCCCGCCACCCGCTTCGGCCGGCAGGACAGTGGCCCCACCACACAAGAGAAGCCTGAGACCCGCACTCTCCTGCCCGGAACCCGGCCAAGGACAGTGACCGCAGGGAGCAGCCAGGCCCAGCCTCGCCCGAGGAGGCCCCAGCCTGCCCAGCCGGGCTGGAAGACCCAGGGACCAGTAGCCGGTGTCTGTCGGGGGGCGCTACACTGGACGGGGCCGTGTCCTGGGAGGGGCGCTGGGGCGCACGGAGGGGCAGCACTGAAGACCGAGGCCAGTGGGGGCGGCCGGTGCCCCGAGGAGGCCCCGGCCTCCTGGCGTCTGGCTCAGCAGAGCACCCGCGTTCTTGTACCTGCGGCTTTGCTCCGTCGGCATCAGTTGTTGGGAAGGGGCGCGTGCTGACTTTCAGGGAGCACCCGGCCGCCATCTTGGGCACCACCCAACACCCCCCAGACATGCCTTCTCACGAGCTCATTGCGACGAGGACCTGCTGCCCTGGGCCCGCTGGTCTGGCTGCCGACTGGACCACCGCACCCCGTGCCCGCCCCCCTGCAGCCCGAGTGGCCTGCGGGGACCTGGCGGCTGAGCCCCTTGGGAAGGCCCCTGTGTCGGGAGCCGTCGGCCTCAAAGTCTCCAAAACCCCAGGCTCGCCTGACGATGCAGACGGCGCCATCGGCGGCAGCACAGTCGGCTTTCTTGCCGTGACGGGCTCGATTCACTCATTTTAGAGAAAACACCCGAATAAGTTTGCCTCCCAGTCACTCAGGAAAAAGGCACTGTGGGAAGCAGCTGGGCCCCACGTGCGCACACGGGGTTCCCGCTGGGGTTCGCCTGGGGCTCGCCATCAGCGGGACCCCAGGAGGACACATCCTTGGCCTTGGGTTCTCCACAGCAGGAAGGAATTCCAGACGCAAGCAAGCAAGGCGCTGGGTGAGCAACTCCCTGCTCCATGCAGCGAGGCCAGCGCCCCTCCCTGGCGCTACCCGCCGCCGACACCTGCCCTAGGGTGGTTACGAAAACAGGTCTGACCGTGTGGAGGCCAGAAGGAGTCCCAGGGACCCCAGGACGTCGAGGACCACTGGCCTTGGCATCCAGCTCACGAGGGCCGACGGCGGTCAAACAGGAGGCAGGACACCTGCGGGGTGAGCCGGGCGGTTCCGGCATCGCAAGGCCTCAGCGGCGCGTTCAAGGTATTCGCACAAAGTAAAAACATCAGCGTCGGGGAAGTGAGTCCACCGCTGGCCGCAGCAGGGCGCGGGGGACACTGGGGTCCTGGGCGCTGCCCCCGCACGTACCCATTGCCGGTGAGCCGCCTCCTTCATGGCCTCTGTGAACGCCACCGCGAACCTGGCAGAGGAGCAGAAACGCAGGACAATTAGGGCGGCATCAGGCAGCGCCCAGACAGCGCTCGGGCTGGGCCGCGGGGCGGAGCAGGGGCAGAAGCTGGACGTCACGCGCCCCCTGCTCACGGGGCGGGGGGGTGCTGGGGTGCAAGGACCCCCGCGACAGCAGGACCCTGGACAGAGGACGCCGGCCCGCGAGCTCCTTCCCAGGTGCTCCCCCTCCTGCCCCCTCCCAGCCCCTCACCAACCCCGGGGTCCGTCCCAAGCCCCTCGTCCCCAAGGGCAGCTTCTCCTGGGAGAGGGGTGGGGGGGGCAGAGCCCTGTCCTCACGTCCGAGTCCCCATCACCGCCACGCGCCGCCTCAGACCCGGCGTGCGGCGCAGTCCCAGGCGCTGGGCTGCCGGGGCCGGCTGGGAGGCGCCTCCACGCGCCCCAGAGGGCACTGAGGGTGCGGGGAGAGGCAAGAAGCGTGGGCCTTGGGCGGCAGCGGAAGGAGACCTTCAGGCCCGATTCAGCAGCTCGCCAGGGGCTCCCCAGGGGGGCTCAGGCCGGCAGGGCGGGGTTCCCCGGGGCGGGGCTCCCCTGTGGCCCCGGCTCTGAGACAGCCCCGGCCTCTCGGGGGAAAGCGAGGCCCAGAGGGGGCGGCCGGCGGGAGCACACCGCACCTCGGGACAGCCTGAAGCTCTGGCGCCGGCCGCAGAGGGAGTGGGGCACGCGGGGGACAGGTGTCGGGGACACGGTGGGGGGACACGCGTGACACCCACTGTCCTGTGAACACGGGGATCTGGGACCAGCACGGCGGCTCTGCTCGGCGGCCTTCTGGCTGTCTGCCCCGCGGCAACGCCGGCCCCCACCCCGCAGGTGGAAAGACCTGCCTGGAGGAAAGGAAGGAGGGGCCGGCACCCCTGCTCCCCCCGGCTCCCCCCTGCTCCCCCGGCTCCCCCGGCTCGCCCGGCTCAGGGGCTGAACGTGATCAAGCCTGTACCTTGTGGGAGAAACGCTTCCAACACTAAGACAAGTTAAAAAATATACTTTGTAGGAAAAACATGAGCTTTTGAAAGCATCCCACTAACAGATGCAACACTTGCTACATCAGGCCAGAGACGCCGCTACTTTGTGTCACCGAAACCCCTTCCCCGGGATCAGCGGAGGGAGCTGACCGGGCGTCCTGCCTGGCCGCGATCGATAACCCCAAAATACAAATTGATGGACATTTTAATAACAACGCCACGGGTGAGGCTAACGAGGCCGCCGGGAGATGAACCCGTTCAAAACCGCTCCCACCACGCGGTTATTTTCCGTCCACAGGCAGCGCCCCAGGCCGGGCGCAGGAGCAGAGGCGGCGGGGGGCCGGGCCGGCGTGAGCCCGGACGGGGACGCCCGCGGACCGTCCCCCACGCCCGCTAGTTCAGGAAGGCCGCGCCGGCGTCACAGGGACGTCCGAGCCCCACGGAGCCGCGGTCCCTGAGCTCAACGACACCCCCCGTAACCCGAGTTTTCAGGGGCAAGACTGACATCCACCTGACAGGAAAAAGGGGGTGCCTCGGGCAGCTCAGCAGAGCCCAGGGGGTGGGGACAGTCCCAGACAAGGCCCAGCTCCGGGGGCCTCCCCGCAGCTTCCCAACCACGAGCCCATCGCTCAGCGGCCGCAGACAGCGGACGGCAGCCGGTTACGGGGCCAAGGGGGGGACCTGAGCGTCCGGGGCAGACAGGCGGGCAGAGGGGATGCAGGAAGCACAGCCCCTGGACAGTGACTCAGTCTGACGGGGGACAGTCACCACCAGCGTGCATGAGCACAGGATGCTCGGCTGAGAGTGGACACAGGCACCCCCCCAAGTCCTCGCTGTGCCTGCGCGACCAGGAGGAGGCGCTGCTTTCCCTCCAGGCCTTCAGTCCCTCCCGATGGCCACCAGCACCCCCAGCAGGAGGGGAGATGGAGCTCTGCAGGGACTCATCTGGGGACAGTGACCGCCCACGCGGGGCCGGGGTGGGCCAGGGGCAGGGCACAGGGACTGCTGGTCATGTCCAGGGTCGGGGGGTGCAGGATGACGCCCACAACCAAGAACTGTCCTCTGGGAGGCCCGTGTGGCCGCACCAGAAACCCAGTGGGCGCATCCACTCGGGGGTGAGAAGGGAGGACATGGCGGGGCGCCTGGCAGGAGGCGGGGCTGACCCTGGGCTCAGGGGCCGGCTCCCACCCCCCACCGTCCAGAGCATCCATCCCCCACCCGCCCACCGGGTGCCCCCCGTAGAATGGTCATCCAGAGAGAGCTGTGGGCGGGAACAAGGGCAGAGGACGGGACTCAGTGACCACGGACAGGAAGATGAAGACATGCACTCGTGAGAGGCGCTCGGACGGCCGCCCTTCCACGGGGGACTCCCGCCCGCACCCCGCGCCCCTCAGGCCTCACCTGGCTTTCTCAAGGACCCTCCCCATGACTTCGTTCTTTTCTCCCTGGTTCACGTCTTCATTTAGATCCGTTCCACCAAAGATGATGCCAAAAGGGATGTGCAGACCTGCGGAGAGGCCGGCGGGAGCTGAGACCAGCGGGAGCTGAGACCAAGGGGCACCCCTCCCTCCTTACCCCACCCCCACCCCGAGCTGGGGCAGAAACACAGGCCAGGGCCTGGGAACCAGCCCAGACAGCGCTCAGCCAGCCCCACCCACGTCTGTCTCCACTCCAGAAACAGGACTCGGGCCCAACCTGTGCCCACCTGCCGCTCGGTCAGGGCAACTTCTATCAATTTGCTGGACTTTTAAACCCGCAGAACAGAGTGGGGGCCCATCTGCCAGAGCCCAGCCCATTGCCCCAGCCCCGGGCCATCTGGAGCTCTGGGGCCGCTGCCCAGCTGCTGACCGTGACCGCTTGGGGGAAGGACGCGGGGGACAGAGAGACACGGGCAGCCGGAGCTGTCCTCCAGGCCCTGGGAGTCCCTTCTTGGTATTGTTCGGAAACTTTCCAGCCGTCTGCTCCGGCAGGAAAAAGTCCCACAAATGCTCTATGAAGAAAAGCGCAATTTGAGCACAGGGGGCTGTCAGGCCTGGGGAGCAGCCTCGGGGGGGCAGACAAGGGCAGTGCCCAGCAAGGCGGCTCTGGCCCGGGGGGGGGGGCCCGGCAGTGATCGAAGACAGGTGCTCGCCTCGGCTGACCGGCCCCAGGCCTGGGCTTCTGGTCACGCCGCCCAGGCCGGGGCTGACCCTTGGAACAACAGTCCTTGGGGCTCCGCCGTGCCGCCTTCCACCGAGAGCAAAGCAGACGAGCGCAAGTCCCACAAGGGCCGTCGAGACCAGGGCGGCTGCGCTTTCGGTATTTGCTAAACCGAGCGGTAAGACTAGTTTCCCCTCACGCAGCCCCGCCGCCGCGCCACGGCCTTGCTTCGGAAAGGGCTTCCGACACGAACTTGCAGCGCCTCGAAGTTCCCTCATTAATAAATCCAGTGAATAAGATCGTTCATATTTGCTCGCCCCATGTTGTGTAAAAGAGTTCTTTCTGCTTTCAGCTTTTGAAAACTATATTTTGAGCGAGGAACTATAGACCGAAAACGTTCAGGATGACACCCCACCGCAACAAAAACAGCTTCCGTTTAAATTCAGGCCCGAGTGACATGATGACACCATTTCAGGAAAATGGCTCGGAACAGAGACCAGCCACAGAGGTGTCAAGGTCCCTGTCTGAGCTAGACCCGTGGGGTTCACCGTTTCCGTGGCCACGCCTGGGTCTCGCCAGGCCCGGCTCGGCCTTCGCAGAGGGGACGGTCACCTTGCAGAAGGCGGCCGCCCCTGTAGAGATGCAGGGCCAGGGCTGCGTCCACGCGGTCGGCCTCGACCAGGCTCGCGATCTCCGCCGGGCTCTCAAAGTCAAGGGCATCTTTCAGAATGCACACGTGACCGGCGGCCTCGAGATGGACCCTTTACCAGGAGGATGAACAGAGAGAAGGACGGAGGCCGTTAACATCACAGCGGCGACAGCGGAGCTTATGGTTTTAAACCCAACGATTGTTTAAACCCAAAGCTGTCGTGTATTTTCTGAGTCGTCCTTCAGGCAACCTGCCGAAAACCCCAACAGGTCGTCACGACAATTCCTTCGCCGGCCTCAGACACCCGGGTGAAGGGCAGCCCCGGCCCCACGCCCCCGCTCATGGCCTCCCCAACGCCACCTTCTTCTCCTGCTCCACAGTGCGCAGGACACGCGAGGCCTGCTGCACGCGTGTAACTCAGCTCTTAATAAAGACCAGAAGTGGCTGCCGATCGCCGGGCTCAGGCCCCTCAGCCAATAAAGGAGAGAGTTTGAGGAGAGCGAAAGGAGTTGGGTACAGGGCAGCGGGGGCAACAAACTGGCCGAGGACTTGCCCAAATAGCTGACCGGTCACTGTCTGAGTTCACCACCTGCGCACGCCATGGCGAGACTCTTGGGCCCGGAGAACAGCAACAGCGGGGTTTATTCGACAAGCCAGGGAGACGGGGGTTCCTGAGGCCAGACATGGCCGCTCACCTCACCCAAAGCTGCGACCCCGCCGCGGAAGCCCTCCAGCGCCAGGTAGCCAGCTCTTCTGCCCACTGCCTGCGGACGGGGGCTGGCTCATCGTGTCTGCAGAGTTAAGGCCAGCCGCAAAGCCAGCACACAGCGTTCTTCGGGGCCCGCCCACTCCTGCCCCTGCACCCCACTCTGGCCATAGCTCTTCACCTGCAGACTCCTCACGGGCCACACCCCTGGGCCCCAAGGCGGCGCCTGCCCGCCGGGCTCTGACCGGTCCCTGCAGGATCCCATCCCCAGGACCACACCCCACGTGGGCCCAGCCACAAAGTCGGCTCGCAGGAGGGGTCCCCCGCACTTCAACTGCCCTTGGGAACGTCTCAAAGCACCTAGAGGGTTCGCGTCTCAGAGCCCTTTCTGCCCTCGGCCAGAGCAGCGCCGTCGCTAGCCGGCGCCAGGTGAACGAGCTGCCTTGCGTTGGGGCCAAGATTGCACGAAATACGAGGACTAAGACTAGAAGGACGGGGGCGCGGGGTGGAGGGAAGGGGCAGGAGGGACTAGAAAGCAAAATGACCCTAAAATGTCTGTGTGGCTGGCGGAGGGGCCTACAGGGCCACAGCACTCCCCCGGAGACCCGCCGCCCCAGGGGAACAGCCTGTCTCCTTCCGGCCTCTCAGTGCCCCCCCTTTCTCGTGATGTAAATCAAACACACGGTGCTGCACGAATAAATAACCCCCGAGGTCTGGGCCGGAGCCGTCCTGAGACAGATCTTATCGTGTCCACCTTGCAGGTTGGCCTGACCTCCCCTCCCCGCACCTGGCATCCTTTGATGTGCCAGGGCAACCGGCCAGCAGGAGGGGGACGCTGCCAGGCAGTCCGGCTATCTGGAAATCACCCCGATGATCACCCTGCACGAGAATCCCTGCCCCCCAGCAGGGCCGAGGGCAAGGAGAAGCCACAGCCCGCGTTGAGAAACTCCCCCGAGGGCGGCCGGCAGGAGCTCTGCTCAGGCAGACCTGACCCGCGGGCGCCGCGGCCGGAGCAGGGGGCATGGGAGCGGCTGCCCGTCCGCTGCCCAACTCCTTTCAAATGGCCTCTCAACGCTCACTCCGAACTCAAACATATTCCAAATAATATATATTTTTTGCTTTTAAAAATAATATTCCCCATGAACTCAGCGCCGTCCCTGCTTCCGGCCGCCCCCAGGCCGCGGCTCAGCCGCTTCCTCCCCAGGTCAGAACCCAGGCCAACGAGTCAGCCCCCCGGGCTCCCGGTAGGGCCGAGCATTCAGACACATCTGACTTGAGCAAGGCTTGTTAGAGACAGTGAAGATCTCCGGTCAATTAGGAGATGCGGAGCTTTTATTTGGCAGTTGGTGGGTGGCGGGAAGCAGCTCCTCAAGGCGGGGCGTGCTGGTGCGGGGAGAGGCGCAGCCACCCCCACCCTGCGGCCCCGGGACGTGACCCAGGCCCCCTGTGGGGTCGCTGGGGGGGAGGCAGAGCTGAGCGTCCAGGAGAAGCTGCATACTGTGGGGGGCTGGGGCGCCTGCTCCTCTGGCTTGGCTTCCGCCAGGGACTCGGGGGCACTCGGAGGAGAGACATGGGAGAAGCAGATGGGCCGAGGCCCGGGGGCGGCGGCGCTGGCGTCCTGATGGAGGGGCTCCTCTGTCCCAGGCTCCAGGCCCCGCTTTCTCCCTTTCTTGCCCCAGGAGGTATCTGAGGCTGGCAAGCTTTCGGGCTCCAGTGGCCCTGCTTTGGGCTGACCCCGTTGGGCCGGGCACTTGCCCCAGGCGATGGGTAACCTGGGGGGTGTATTGTGAACCTACGATTACAATATCTCTTTCTCTCTCCCTAGACACCAATTCCATCAAAGACCTTTCGCACCAAGAGTCTGCTGCCTTTGTCTTCATGCAGCAGATGGCAGGACCCCCTGCAGTGTGCACCCCTAACAGCTTGGGGTCCCTGAGTGTGCCCAGGCCACATGCTGCCATCTGACATCCTTGACTCAGGACACAGTGGGACTCTACCTGCGCCTTCCTCAGAGGAAAGCTTAATTGTTGGTGTGTTTAGCCCACCCTCACCGCCAGACTGGCACCATCACCCCCAGCACCCCAGCACCCCGGCCTCTGACCTCCAGCCTGACCTCTGACCAGCAGCCGGCAGCCAGGCTGGATGCTTCTTCCCGTGACCTGCTGCGGTCAGGTGTGCTGAAGCCTCTGTGCTGCAGGCTGGTGCTCGGGGGGGGCTGGGGGTCCCCATCTTCCAGCCACCCCTCAGCCCAGCACCTTCCAGCCTGTGGCCATCGAGGTGGCTGTGTAGATATTTGCCAAGACGGACCCTCAGCGGCCTCCGACAGCTCTCACGTCAGGGGGGCATGAAGCAGCCGCTTCCCACCCGATGCCAGTGAATCCGCAGTGCCCTGGGGCCTCCAAAGACACCCTGGAGAACCTTCCGCAGGCTTTCCCTGCCCGGACGCCGGGCGACGGCGCACAGCCCAGGAGCACAGCCCCCGAGAGAGGGTCCACCCAGATGACCGGCTTCTGCTGCTCCCGCCTCCCTCCCAGCTCCTTCCCCAAGTCTCCGGGCTGCTCTGTTATCTGGAGGGGCCGTTCCGATGACGACATGTTTACACACAGTGTTCCGGGTGGAGAAGGCTCAGCCGCCGCCCCAGCACAAAGTCCAGCTCTCAGTGACCCTCGCCTGCGCCGGACGCTGCCCTCCCTGGGAGCACCGACCTCTGACCCCCAGCTGCCAGGCACAGGGAACCATCCCGGGCCTGCCTGGGTCCTTCTGGGCTGGCAAAGAATCAAACGGGCACTGGGCAGGATCGATACGAAGAGAAACAGAGGAGTTTTATACCAGCACCCACACCGCCCGCGTCAGGGAGCCCCGCGACCGGGCCCTCCCCGGCAGGTCTCAGAGGCTCCCTCACAGGGCTGAGCTGAGACAGCAGGACTTGGGGAGGGGGCACCCACGGAGGCTCAGCAGACAAGGGCTGCAGCTGGACGTGACCTTCCCAGTTGAAAAGGGATCAGATGAGGCCTCGAGACAAGTTCACCTGCGAATTCCCCGAAGCGGCTGCCCCCGGCCTCGGCGCCCCTGCCGGGAAATCAGCTTTTGTGAAAAGGCATAAACTGGGGTGGCAGGTGTTTGCAACCCCCCTGTGCTTCTGAAGACCCCGGCACCCAAACCCCTGACCCGCTCTGCGCCCCCACCCCTTCATGCCCTGCTGTGCCCCTACGCTTGGGTTCAAAACGGGTCAGTTGCCAGAAGGAAACATCTCGGGGTTGCAGGGAGGCCTCCTTAGCTCCTGGGAGAGGGGGGCACCCGCTGCTGCCTCCAGGGATTTATAGTTGGAGAGGGGTGCGGCTCTATTGACCCTTGGCACCGTCCCCCGGATTTGGAGGCACCAGCTCCGGCGTCAGCACAACAGGAGCGTCCCCCCACGTCAGGCTAACGGAGGGTGTGAGTCTTTTTACACCTGTCACCGAAGCCGTTCCTGGCTCGCGACACGGAAGTGAGCTTTGTCCTCTGAGGAACTCAGGCTCTGGACTCGGTCCTGTTTATAACTTTCCAGAAGGACGTTCAGAGCTGCCCTTGCCCTGAGGAGCTGACCTGGGTGCTCGTGCCCGGCTCGGGGTGGGGGGGGAGTCAGGAATGACAGGTGGTCCCAGCACCTGCTCAGGGCCTCGGGGGATGGGGGGCGGGGGGGAAGCAGTGGTCTCTGTCTAAACCACCCGACAGCCTGGCCAAATAGTTGAGGATGCCAGAGGGGCCACAGACTGCCAGCAGCTTGGACCCCAAGTCCTCTCAGCAGCTGGGGCTCCCCGCATCCCTCTCCCTCATGCCGGCCATCCTCTCTCCGGCCCAGCACAGGCCACGCCAGGAATCTGACCCTGAGCAGGCCTAGTTCACAGTCCTCCGTCTCGGCTTTGGTGACCAGCCCGAGGTGCCCTGTCGCCCCCATAATGGGCCTGCTGGCTTAGGAATCCCCGACTCCCCGGCCCATCAGGCCTTGAAGGGGTTCAGAATAAGCCTCCATGCAATGCGCCCCTTGGCACGTGGTTGCTTTCGAGCTGAAGGTCATCGAGACCAAGACTCAAAGGCAAAGCATTTACCTCCCCCTTCACTATGAAGAATTCCGAGAGGGCCCTGGCCCCCCGGAGCTATGGCCCAGGGGGCTTTTACCTGAATGACCCATCTGTGTGGCCGGGGAGCATCTGGTTACCTAACACCTCCTGCCTCCCTGACACCCGCCCCCCGGGAACCCCCAGAGTAAGAAGTAAATGTGCTTCTTCTGTGCCCGCCTTTCGCGCCGGGGTCTCTTCCAAAAACCTACAAGCTCTTGTCCAGAACCCCTCGGGACAAGTCCTCTTCCCTGCAGGGGAGGTCCTGCACCCCCAGCCAGGGGCTGTTTCCCTCCAGAAAGGACGTCAGGGTGAACCGCACCCCAGTGTGCTGTCAGCCGTGCGAAGGACACGGGTCACTGCAGTCTGTGGTCTCGTCATGTGTCCTCCCCACGCTGGACGCCAGCCTGGCAACTTCCCTTCCGGGAGGCCCAAGCCCACACGTCTTTCTCCCCTGCCGCACCCCGGGCCCCTCGGCGCCGCAGTCAAAGCAACTGTCCACAGGAATCCGGCGGCGCGGGCCGCGACATGGCGTGAAACGGAAGGACCTTGTCTCAGGGCCCGCCGGCCTCTCCTGCAGGCGGCGTCAGCCTGGCCAGACAGCGGCCCTGGCCCAGCCTTGACCGTGGCCGCTGCGGGGGCCACTGCGGGACGTCAGCAGTGACCCTGGCCTCTCCCTCAGCCGCCCCCACAGTGTGTGACCCCCCTAACTCCCTCCAGACCCTGCCCCATGTCCCCTGGAGGGCAACATGCTGCTGACCCCAGCGCATGAGCTCCCTGCCGGGCCCCATGAGAGCCGCTGGGCTGGAGGCGTCTGTGCTGCCAAGTCACAGCTGCCTCCAGAGGGGAAGCTCTTGCCCCCTCACTGCTGAGAGACCCCTCCTCACACTGACCCTTCCCCATCTGCTGTTGGCAGGCAGAAGGAGGGGCACTCCAGGACCCCAAACCTGCCCGCTCTAAATAGGCTCTGCCATCTGCCACATCAGGACAAAACACTCGGAGCGCGAGACCTTCCACGGGAAAGAACTCGAGCGGCGTGAGCGTGCAACAGGGCAGAGGAGGAAGTTTCCAGCTGAGCCCACCGTCTCCCGGCCCCTCGTGGGTGAACGTCCAGCCCAGCAGGGTCGGCCCAAAGCGGGGCCACTGAGGCCCGAGAGCCGCCCTGGTCTCGGGCCCCTCCTGGGGAACCCACAGGAAGGCGCATGGGGGCCAGGCGGGTCTGGGAGGAAAGGAGCAAAATCGAAACCCAAGTCCAGATGACGGCCGCCACGGTCACCTCCCACGGGTCTCCCCACGTCTCTGTCTCCTCTGAGTGTCCCTTCCGCGGGCCCCATGACCCTGGGGAAGCTCCCTCACCTGTCCGCTCCACGTGCCTCCCCCAGGCCTCTCCCTCTCCAAGCCTTTTCAGCTTCCCTGCCCTGCCCGGCTCTGCCTGGCCCTGGGGTGGGGGACGCCACGGAGTCTCCCGAGTCCCCCCTTTGCAGATCACAGGGTCACACTGTGACCTAAGGGCACCGCCGGGTGACGGGCTCGCAGGTGCGACGGGCATGATGAGGGTCAGGCCCGGGTTTACGACGCAGGGGACAAGGCAGGTGATGTCGGCACCCCCGTGTCCTGCATCTCTAAGCCGGGGGCTGGCAGGCAATGCCTTGCCCGGAGCTTCTGTTTCTCACATTTACAATGCCAGAGGCCTCCGGGCCCAAGCCTAGGTGGGCCCTGGCACCCCCCGAGCGCCCTGCCCCCCATCTGTGTCTTCCCCCGTGGACCTCACTCTCGGGCAGCCGCGACTTCATGCAGGAGTGGCCTAGGCCGGCTCCCTTCACGGCCGGTCTTGGCGGACTGGGACGCGTGGCTCTGCTAGACCAACGGGGACCCCACCTGTTGGTTTGGGGGCTCCCTGCCGCCACTGAGGTCTTTTGGGAGCCACAGGGCTTTCCGCAGAGGAGGCCTGAGGGGTGCTCCAGGCCCTCCTGGCCCCGGGATGGGGTCCCTGGCGAGCTACCCCCACAGCACCCGCCCGCCCCGGGCCCAGCCTCCTTTCCTGAGGCCTCTGGCAGCTTCTGGGCGCAGAGAGACCGGCTCTCCCGGGCTGGCTGCGGGCTGCTCCGTCCTCCCTCAAATACCCCAGGAGGACAGAGATGAAAGGAACCAACACCAGCCCCCAGCTCGACGTCCGCCCCCCGGGCTGCCTGCGCTGTTCCCGTGTGCGCCCAAGGCCGGCCGGGCCCAGCGCCGTGGGAGGGACACCGGGCGGGCGGCGACCTGCAGCGGCTGTTCTAGTTCCCCCTGACTCGGCAGTGGGGGTGCCAGTGGGGTGCGGGCAGCCTCTGGGTCAGGCTGGCACTCGGGGAGCGGGAGGAAGTGGGGCGCGCGTCTGAAGCACAGAGGGGTCTCCTTGGAGCCCACGGCCCACTGATCCGGCTTCTCCCCTCCTCTCCCAGGCGGGGAGGAGGGTCCTTGCCACCCCCACCCCACCTGCCTCGCACCGGGAATACCCTCCAGACCCCGAGTGGCTGCCTCTTGTGTCACCCCACACACCCACACCCAAACCCACACCCGCACTTCCTGAGCGTGGACGTGACTTCCTGAGGGTGGACGCGGCTTCCGCTCCGCAGGGCCAGCAGCCAGGCAGCCTCCCTGAGCCCGGGGGGCGGGAACACCCTCACCTGTGCGCCTCGGCAGGGGGTCTGCCCCGTCCTCAGGGCCACCTGGCACCTGTGCGGAGCTCATGTCTTGGAGCAGAGAGGGGCATTCAGGGGTGAGGGTAGCACCAAGTGCTTTTTTTTTTTCTATGGGACCCTCGCCGGCGGCTGGGGAACGAACTGGTGCTGCAGAGGCTGTGGGCAGCCACAGCCCAGCGCTCAACTGCTGCACCACGGCGGGGGGGGGGGGGGGGGGGCCCCCAAGTGCTTATTTTAATGGTAAGGAAGCCGGCCCACTGGGGGTCAGAGGAAGTAAACTGAGAAATGGTGTGAAGGGAAGCAAGTCAGTGGGTTTAAAAAAAAACCGCCAGGGCCTCCCTGGGGGTGCAGGGGTTAAGTCTCAGTGCTGTGGAGCTCTCGCCAGCCACTGCAGCACGAGTTCGATCCTTGGCAGGGAGCTACCCACAGGGCGCAGCAGACCTCGCCTGTCTCCCCGCTGCTCCCCTCAGCAGTGTGTCTCAGTGGACCCACCTGCTCCAGTCCCCACTCTGTCTCTGGGGAGTCCTCTCACCACCCCGCTCCGGCACCTCTGGCCTGCATCCCAGCTCGTGTATGAATAAATAAGTAAAAATAGATCTTTAAAAATAAAAATGGTGGGGCCTCCCTGGTGTCGCAAGGGGTTAAGACGCAACCTATGAAGCTGTCAGCAGCCTCTGCAGCACGAGGTCCATTCCCAGCCAGGGAGCTACCCACATGGCGCAGCAGACTCCCCTGTCTCCCCGCTGCTCCCCTCAGCAGTGGGTTTCAGTCCTTCTGCCTGTTCTGCTCCCCACTCTGTCTCTGGGGAGTCCTCTCACCCCCGCATCTCTGGCCTGCACCCCAGCTCCTGTATGCATAAATAAAATACATCTTAACAAAACGAAACACCAGCAGCACCCCAGGGCGGCCCTGCACCCCTCCAGGCCCCTCTCCAGCACGTATTGCACCAAAGCCAGAACTCCCGGGAAGGGCCAGATTGGAGCCGGCGGCCCCTGCCTGCGGGGCTCACATTCCCAGGGGGGGAGCAGGTGGCAGGTTCCCCTGCCCTGAGGGGCTCACATCCTGGGGCAGCAGGTGGCAGGTTCGAGGAAACAGCCAGATCGCTGCAGAGACAGCGCGGCGAAGCGGGGGCGGCAGGCGCAGCCACAGGCCCTGGGGTCCGGGCGGCCGGCAGGGCGGGGGCAGGTGTGGCTCCGCAGCCGCAAACCCTGGGCCCCTCCACCCCCACCGGCTTCAGGGCCCCTCCCCGCGCCCAGGCTTCGGCTCGCGCCCCGCCCGGCGCACCCGCCCCGAGCCCGAGCGCCGGAGGACGCGGGGGCTGCTGCGGGGCTCCCCGCGCCCGGCGCTGCCGATGAATGGAGGCGCCCCGCGCGGGTCGCTCCGGACAGCCCCAGGCCCGGCGGCGCGGACCCCCGCGCCCCCCCGGCCCCCGACCCCGCGCCCCCGACCCGCGCTCCGCGCCGCCTCCCCGCGCCCCCGCGCGCCCCCGACCCGCGCCCCGCGCCGCCTCCCCGCGCGCCCCGCGCCGCCTCCCCGCGCGCCCCGCGCCGCCTCCCCGCGCGCCCCGCGCCCCCGACCCCGTGCGCCCCGCGCCGCCTCCCCGCGCCCCCGACCCGCGCCCCGCGCCGCCTCCCCGCGCCAGGCAGGCGGGCCCGGGTCTCGGCGCCGCGCCAGGCCCCGCGCGCCCCGCCGGCCGGTCGGGTCGGGTCGGCGCGCGCCGGGGCCCGCGGGAGGCGCCTACCGGACGCGCTGGGCCGTGACCGCGTTGCCCGTGTGCCGCCGCAGCACCGCCAGGAACAGCAGCCGCATGCCGCGCCCGGCCATCCGCTCTGCCCGCGGCGGGCGGGCGGGCCGGGCCGGGCCGGGCCGGGGCGGCGGGCGGGGCGCGGGGTCGGGCCCGCCCGCCGCTCCCCAGGACGCACCGGCCGGTTCGGCGCCGGCGGGCGGGGCGGGGCGGGGCGGGCGGGGCGGGGCGCGAGCCGGGGCGCGGGCCCGGGGGTCTCCCTTCCCGCCCGCGGCGGGGCCCTCGGGCGGGGCCGGGCCAGGGAGGCCGGGGGCGGGGCCTCATCGCCGGGGTCGGCTCCCGGGGCCCGCGGGGCGGGTGCAGCCACCCCAGGACTCCCCCAGGAGGTGACGGGGAGGCTGTGGTCCCTCCCAACACCGCGCGCGCGCGAGGGGACCAGGCCTGGCCTCCCGCCGGCTCCCAGGTGGAGGCGACCCCTCCACGGCCAGCCCGGGGGATGCCCGTCGGGGACCGAGGCAGGGGCAGCCCCTCCCGTGGGGCGCTGTCCGGGCTGTCCGGGTTTGTTCCCGCCGGGCCAGCAGAGGTCACCTGTGTCCAGAGGCCTGGGGAGGCTCCCGGGGCACAGCCATGGCAAGAGTGGGTTCTCTGGGGCTGGGTGGTGACCACCCTGCTGGCAGAGGGGCTGTGCGGCCTCTCCTCCCAGGAGGCCCGGGGCAGTTCTAGGCCCCGGCAGGGCCCGCCCGTGGCTCCCCAGCTCTCCTAGACCCTGGCAAGCCCCGCACTTCCCTGATCCCCCACCCCATCCCAGGATCTGACCCAGGGACTCCGTCCGGCCTGCGGCGGGCAGGGGCAGTGAGTGGCAGGCCGGCCGGAGGGGGCTGCCCCGTGCCCAGGCCACGCGGCTGTGTGTCGTGCTCACTCCTGAGCCGCCATTTTCAAGTTGGGCGCGTCCGCGCGGGTGTTGGAATTCCTGATACCCCTTGAGAAACGAGTTAAAAGAGAAACGATGGAAAATACAAATTTAAAGTTTATTGACCCAAAAGTCTCTTGGAACCAGGCAGCACCACACCCGAGAAACAGCAGAAACAAAGCAAGGAAGCTGCTGGCGACAGCGGGTGGCGCCTGGGTGGCTGCGGGTGGACAGTGGCACTTGGGTTTCGATTTCAGCCCCTGAGCTGACAGGTCCTGGCGGCGCGTAGGCCACGGGCCATCAGAGCCACCTCAGTCTAGTGCCTCCTTGTTCACTAATTTAGCAGGTGGGACCTGAGCTCCCCAGTCACCACCGAGGCTGTGGCTCACGTTGGCTCCTTTATACTCTCCATCCCTACTCTGTTTAGGGGAAACTGGATTATTTCTTGACTCCAGTCACCAGAGACCGAGGCTCCTTGGCTCGCAGCACTGTCCTGGTCTCGAGGGCCTCAAGATGCAGCAGGGCTGCTGGCGCCCCACCCATCACAATCACCTCCCGGGCAGCGGGAAAGATGGGGCACCCAAAACGGTGCAGCTCATCTCAAGGGCTCCCTCGGGCCTTAGTGGTCACGTGGCCACGTCTTCCCCCCGGGGCAGCTGGGAAATGCAGCCCATCAGCTGAGCACACTTTATCCCCCCATAAAGTGATAGCCACTGCAAGACGACAGTTCCCGGGGGAGACCGTGGGCCCACCACGCAGCCCCCTCCCAGGACGGCTACGGGCGTGGCAGCCCCGTGCCCCGCCCCCCCCCCCCCCCCCCGCCTGCTCCCAGGGCCCGTTCCTTCTGCTCCATAGAGGAGGGACAGTCAGTCCCGCCTGTCACCGGGGCTCTCCGCTGGGACTGAGACTGGGTGGGGAGGCTGACTGTTGGCTTAAAGTCGCTGACTTTGCGCTGCTGTGGCCTCCGACGTCGGAACGGAAGCCCCGCCTCGGTCGGATTTGCCAGGCTGAGCTCGCCTGCAGTTCTTCTGAAATACACCTGTTCCACAGGGAGTCTCGGACACACCTCGGGGCCCATTACTTTATCCGTCCATCGCTTCCTTTTGTAAAATGAGGGGAATTATAAATCGTATCGCAGTTAATCAGCTCATTTTAATGAAGTCTTTTATGATTCTCCCAAACAGGTAACAGAAAGGTACAAAGACAAGGGTGGTGTTATGGAATAATGTGGAAATAATTAGGGGCGCGTGGTAGAGCAGAAAAGGTTGTAAGTATCACTTCTAAGATTTCTCCAGATCTTTCTAATGCAAGAGGCTTGAAATACATGTAAGGCAAAATGCTTTTCTTTGATCAATGTGTCTGCCCAGATGGCTCCCCTGGGTCCCAGCACCAGGGAAAATGGAAAAAAAAAAAAAAAAAAGAATGAACCTTGATTATCTGTCCTGAAGAAAATGACGCGTTCCCTGGGCGCAGGCGGGAGCCCTGACTTTGGAGCGACGGCTGAAAAGCAACACGTGACAGCTTTTTTTTTTGGACGTTCTGACAACACGAGACACCATCTCTATGTTTTCAGTCCCCTCAGCACCGGCTTCACACACTGCGTGGGGGGCGGTGAGGAGGGAGGGGCTCGTTCCACAGGAGACACCCAGAACAGAGACCCGCGCGTCCTCGCATTTCCTTTTCGGGGCTTTCATTGATAGTACTTGAAAGGGACCAAATGCCCCCAAAAGCTGTTGGTCTGCATACAGCACTAGTGCTGCTGTTCCAGGGCCACCCCCGTGTGCAGTGGGGTGGCCTGACTGTGGGTCCTCACCCGTGCACTTGGGGCTTCGAGGGAGACTCCACCGCAGGCGCACGGAAAGGGTCACAGCGGGGTGTTCACGGACGGGGGAGCGCAGGAAGGGATGACTCGGGGAGAGGAGAGGCCACTCGGCGACCGCCCGGCAGTGCCTCCGAGCTGGGCCCCCCCGCGGCACGCTGGAGGCCGGCCAGAAACCAAGCCCCCCAAGCCCCGCCCGCCTGGCGCCACCAAGCCTGGCTGCCGGACGCCGCCCTCCCTCGGGGCGATGACCTCATGGGACTCGCAGTCCTGCGTGTCTTGGGTGTCTGGGTCCGGGTGGGGGTGGCCCACGACCCCTGCGTGTGGCGCTCGCTCAGGACGCCCTCTCCCCCCACACTACTCGTGTTGCGTCATGAACACAAGGTCAGCCGAAATAAGTGCGCTCCCTGGGCGTGTCTGGCAAGAATGCAGGCCTGGGGTCACCCTGCGCCCCACTCGATGGCCCGATTCCAGTTTCTTCCCTCTGGAGCGCAAAGTGGTTGGTCGCAAAGACTCTTGGTTGTGCGAGGCGGCCCGGAGGCGGCGGGCCTGGCTGCGCGGAGGCTTTGCACGCTAGGAGCGCAGGGCGGGTCCAGGGCCGCGGGCAGGGGCTGGTTCTGTGCACACTTGGGCTCACCCGCTGCTCCCGGTGACCTCCCGTTACATAAACCAGAGCCCTTTTTCTCCACGGAATTTTTAACTCATTTTTTATTGCATAAGCCACATATATACACAGGACAAATACAGATAAAGCCATTTTAAAGCGGCACAGGCCCCACGGCCCGGCGGGAGCCACAGTGCACGCGCTGGCACCGTCTCCCGCGCCGTCGACAGGCAGCGTCCGCAGTGTGCTCCCGGGTGCTCGCAGACTCCCCGCAGCGTTCTAAGCACCCCGGTACCCTCCCCTCCTGGTTTCTCCCATGACCCTCGATGTGGGTGCTGCCGCCCGCGCGGGTGCCCAGAGGGAGCTGGGGCAGCAGGGGCGGGCTCCCTCGTCCGGGCCTCGGCCGCCAGGCCCGCCGGCTGTCACCTGGGGCGGTGGATTTGTGGCTGCTGGTTTTTATTGTTTTGGTTGGTGTCACTGCTAGGAAAAACAGGAACAAACTGCCTACTTTCTGGGATTTGCCCTTTCACATGGTGGCGGGCAGGGTTTTAACCCGCCCCCGAGATTCCCCACCTGCTGTGCGGCCCAGCGCTGTGGGGATGATCCACGGATGCGCCTACGTTCCCAAAGGCGCACGTGAGGCGGAACAGGAGCCCCCAGGACCACCGCACCTGTCAAGGCCAGAGAGATGCGAAGACTGAGAGGGGTTTGAGGTGAGGGGTTCTCTGTTGTTGGGTGTGGGGGTGATGGGGACCGCGGCAGGCACTGAGCGGCCCCCACGGCAGCTGAGTGCAAGGCAACACAGGACCTGGGGAGCCATGCACAGGGCCTGCTCGCACCCCCTGACCTCACCCGGGGGGCCCAGCCTGGCCCTAGGCAGACAGCCCCGGCATGAGACCTGCAGCTGATGGGTGCGCGTTTCAGCCGCTCACAGGGGTGCCCTAGTACACGACACAAAACTGGCCCAGGGCCGGCGCGCACACCTCCACCCCCAAGCTCCCCCGCAGCTGCTCTGCAACAGGCACATGGCGCTCCAGCGTCCGCTCGCACCGCAGCTCGTCCTGTCGGGTGTGTGGCCACTTCACGCTACACGGCCACGGCACTGGCAGCTGGGCCTCTGGTCACGCTTTTACATTCCTGGGAGTGCAACGTCCACAGGTGTAGGCCACTGTTCCGGCTCTGTCTGCGTTCATAACAAGAACCTCTCTCTCTCTAAAGCCTGCGTGCGCACACGCACACACACACGTGTGGCACTCGTGGTCCTCGGCACTCGGGGGAAGAAAGGCACGGAGTCTCACTCCCCGGCCAGTGGCCTCTAGAGGGCAGTGCCCCGGCCTTGCCGTGGGTGCACACCAGCTCACCTCCCTGGTGGCTCCACCCGGGGTGTCCTCCGTCCATGTCACGAAACGTGTCCCCACGCTCTGCATTAAGATCGGGGGGTGACTTGACTCCCCCCCCAGCAGGGCATAGGCACTCTTCCCCTCCTCGGGTGCTGCTGCCTCAGCTGCCGGGGCCGCCTCCTGATGAGTGACATCACGTCCCATGTGCTTAACCAGAAAGAGAGCTCGGGCGCTCGCAACCCAGATGTCAGGGAGAGTCACCCGAAGGCGGGCCCAGAACTGGGAACAGCCCTGGCCGGCGTCTCCCCGAGACAAGCTGCTGGTCTCCTCACCTCTCTGGCGGGGCTGCTTCATCCTCGGGCTTCACAAGATCACCCGGGGACTCCAGGCCT